ATCTCCTGCTGATATGCTCACAGAGGAGGAAATCGATTTTGGCGTGGTGCCTGTTGTTGGGGGCATTGAACAGGTTAATTACATCCTGATAAGGAACCACATCATAGCGAAATGGCGGGAAAATGTATCCAGTTGGGTCGTAAAGGAGGTGTTTCTTGATTCAATTCCTAAACATTGCAGTACCCTTTTAGATTCAGCTTATAATTACTTAGTCACGCATGGATATATAAACTTCGGTGTAGCACAGGCAATTAAAGAGAAGATTCCTTCTCAACCTAGCAGGCCTAGTGTGGTTATTGTGGGTGCTGGATTAGCTGGGTTGGCTGCTGCAAGGCAGTTGCTGAGGTCTGGGTTTAAAGTCACGGTTTTGGAGGGTAGGAAACGGCCCGGTGGGCGGGTTTATACCAAAAAGATGGAAGGTAGTAGGGTAGGTGCTGCAGCGGATTTAGGAGGGAGTGTTTTGACTGGAACGTTAGGAAATCCTCTAGGGATTGTAGCAAGGCAGCTCGGTTGTTCTCTTTACAAGGTGCGAGATAAGTGTCCGATTTACCTGGTGGATGGTAAACCAGTTGACGCAGATATGGATATGAAGGTTGAGACAGCTTTTAACAGGCTTTTGGATAAGGCAAGCAGACTTAGGCAGTTGATGGGTGAGGTTGCCATGGATGTCTCCCTCGGGGCAGCACTCGAGACATTTAGGCAGGTCTATGGGGATGCAGTGACCAGAGAAGAGATGAGCTTGTTCAATTGGCATCTTGCTAACTTGGAGTATGCAAATGCAGGCTTGGTATCAAAGCTCTCCCTTGCATTTTGGGATCAAGATGACCCATACGATATGGGTGGAGATCACTGCTTCTTGCCTGGAGGAAATGGAAGGCTAGTTCAGGCTTTGGCTGAGAATGTTCCAATCTTATATGAGAAGACCGTTCAGACAATTAGATATGGGGCAGATGGCGTGCAGGTTATTGCAGGAAGTCAAGTGTATGAGGGTGATATGGTGCTGTGTACAGTTCCACTTGGTGTCCTCAAGAATGGCTCAATCAAATTTATACCCGAGTTGCCTCAAAGAAAGCTTGATTGCATAAAGAGACTAGGTTTTGGGTTATTGAATAAAGTGGCGATGCTTTTTCCCTATGTGTTTTGGAGCACAGATCTTGATACCTTTGGCCATCTTAGTGAGGATCCTAATTGTCGAGGTGAATTCTTTCTATTCTACAGCTACGCACCAGTTGCAGGTGGTCCTCTCTTAATTGCCTTAGTTGCTGGAGAAGCTGCTCATAAATTTGAGACAATGCCTCCCACTGATGCAGTGACTCATGTTCTTCAGATTCTCAGAGGTAACAGGCTTTCTATCCTTTGATTGTCAGTTTAATATTACTAAGTTTGATATCACCTCCGCATATCATTCTCTTAGCAAATTAATGTGTATTTGTCAGTTAAATTTCACCCCTGGTGCTAATCTTTGATATCCTCGGAAAATATAACTTCAGGGATATTTGAACCACAAGGAATTAATGTCCCTGACCCCATTCAAACTGTCTGCACAAGATGGGGTGGCGATCCCTTCAGTTTAGGCTCTTACTCTAATGTTGCAGTGGGAGCTTCAGGTGATGATTATGATATTTTAGCAGAAAGTGTGGGAGATGGAAGGCTTTACTTTGCTGGCGAAGCCACGACTAGGCGGTACCCTGCAACCATGCATGGAGCTTTCCTTAGTGGTCTGAGGGAAGCTGCAAACATGGTTCAATCTGCAAAGGCCCGAGTCATGAGGAAGAGAATTGACAGGAACCCATCAAAGAATGCCCATTCTTGTGCTTCCCTTCTTGCAGATCTATTCAGGGAGCCTGATGTTGAGTTTGGGAGCTTTTCTATTATCTTTAGTCGAAAGAATCTTGATCCCAAATCTCCAGCAATATTGAGGGTAACTTTGAACGAGCCTCATAAGAGGAATGAGGATCCAAAAGCAGATCAACATTCAAATAAGATACTGTTTCAGCAGCTTCAGTCTCATTTCAACCAGCAGCAGCAAATTCATGTGTATATGCTGTTGACAAGGCAACAGGCGCTTGAGCTTAGAGAAGTTAGAGGTGGTGATGAAAAGAGATTGAACTATCTCTGTGAGACACTTGGAATGAAGCTTGTGGGAAGGAAAGGTTTGGGTTCTGCAGCCGATTCTGTCATAGCTTCTATTAAAGCTGAGAGAACGGGTCGTAAGACACCATCATCTTCCTCCAGCATAAAATCAGGTGATGATCCCTGCATTTATGTATCAGTAGCTGTTTCTATATAGAATCTGTGTTGACATCTTTTTTTTCCCTGTCAAGAAGGGATTTTGAAGGCGAAATCTGGTGCTTTGAAGCGAAAATTGATCAGGTACTAGACTTTTAGTGTATATTGCATATAATCTTAGTCGATTGTTGCGGTAAAAAAGAACATTCCCTTGAACTCTCTGCTTCATTTCATTTGTGTCAACAGAAGGGCTAAAGTGGTAAGCAATGGCAAAGGACCAGTGGTTTCTCAAAGTACAGACACGGTAAAGAACAATGTAGCAGAAATGATGAAAGCTGAATCTTTAGGTAATGGTAAAGCGTCTGAACAACCCTCAACAGCCAACAATATAGGCAGTAGCATGGTGGAAGAAACAAAGTCTATTACAGGACTCCCTCATGTATCAAGTTCAGGTATATACACATGTTATAACTCAAGAATATATGTGATTTTTTTACCGTTCTTTGACCTCTCCATCTGGCTCCTTTTCCCTACTGGATACTTGTTTTTTTTTTTTCTATATTGTTTGGAGTTTCTTATTGTGGAATTATGATTTGATTAAGTTTCTTATTGTGGAATTATGATTTGATTAACATATGCAGGTCCCGAGCAAGCCGACTTGATGAAGAGATGATCAAATGATGAACAGTCCTCTTTCAGATGATAATTCCCAAGTGGATCTAAGTCAGGGTTTTTCTTAACCATCTCAAGATTGAACAAATCACCTTCCTGTTTCATAACACGGGAAAGACAGTTTGCTCAACTTGTCTTGAGATTCACCCATCACTTCTAGTTCTAAAACCGATGCATCCCCGAATAACATCAGTCAGTCTTGAGGCGTCGGAGAAGCCATTCCGAACGAATCTCGAGACAGAAAAAGATCGAAATGGAATCTTTTCGGGTAAAGATTCATTCATTGGCTCATTGATTCAGCAGTTGGAATTGGGGAGAGGAAGAAGAACGTTGGTGACAAATGACCCCTCTCTCTGCTACACTCTCACTTCCTCTGTCTGCAGGTGAGTTGATATATGTATTGTTTGGCTTCTTATTTCACTGTCTTGACCTCAAAGGTAGAAACTTGTCAGCTTGTATTTTGCAAAGTCCTTACCTTTAGAACATATATGTATATGTATTTATTTTTTTTGGTCCTTTTAAATTTGCTACCTTAATTGCCAGTATTTTTCATTTGTTGAACCTATGAATCACAAATTTTCTCCTTAACAAATTAAAACTTACAATGTTTCCCCCAAACTATTATATGGAGGCAACCAAATCCCCCTAAATCTTAAATTATAAGTTCTTTTATAATAATACAGGCTGCATTCTTTAACTTTATAAACGTTAGTTTGTCCGTTGAAGTTCATAACCCACTAACGTTACAATTTTACAAATTCACCCCATACCAATTAAAATTACATTTTCCCCCAATTAAAATTACATATGTGTACGTATTGCGTTTCTTCTGCGTTTGGAGAAATCGAAATGGTGCAGAAGAAGGGGAAGAACCACGAAAGCGACGAAGAAGAAGACAACACTTTCTACTATCGCTACGCCTCCGTAGCAGCGTCGTCGGACCCTAATCCCGTGTCCGCCGGAAAACCGAGAAGTTCCGGCGGCTCCGGCGGATTGGCGCCATCGAAATCGACGGTGTATGTCTCCAATCTGGACTACGCCCTCACCAACTCCGACCTCCACACCCTCTTCTCCACCTTCGGGAAGATCGCTCGCGTCACCGTTCTCAAAGACCGTCAAACGCGCCAATCTCGCGGGGTCGCGTTCGTTCTCTACGTCTCCCGAGACGACGCGGTCAACGCGGCGCGATCCATGGACGGGAAGATCCTCAATGGCCGGAAGCTGACGGTATCGATCGCGGTGGACAACGGACGAGCTCCGGAGTTCATAAAGAAGAGAGTGTACAAGGACAAGTCGAGGTGCTACGAGTGTGGGGACGAGGGGCATCTCTCGTACGAGTGCCCTAGGAACCAGCTGGGTCCGAGGGAGAGACCTCTGCCGCCGAAGAGGCGAGGGCAGCGGAGGGACGCGGAGGCGGAGGCGGAGACGGAGGGGGAGGAAGCGGCGGAGGGATTCGAGGAGGAGAATTGGGCGTCGGCGGTGGATAATGAAGCGGGAGAGAGGCTGAGGATGAGAGAGGAAGAGGAAGAGAGGAGGATGAAGAAGAGGAAGAGAGGGGAGAGTGGTGGTGGGAAGAAAGCTAGCTACTTCAGTGACGAGAGTGATGAAGATGATTGAAAACCCCATTTTCAGGTACATGGGATTTTGGAAAGAAATCAAATTTGGGTAGTGAATGAATGAATTTTCAGATGATGGGTTTGATCAAGTTCCAATCTTTCCGTACAGATTTTCATGATGGAACTGCTAGTTAGATGTATTCCATGTGATTCTTGATCTCAGCATTCTGGGTAAAAATGGTGTCCTGTGGTGCTCATCATCATCCGGAGAGCATGGACTTTGCAACCTGAATGGCAGTAGTAACACATAACGAGACATGTATAATGTTATTATACACTGTGAGATTGATAGTTCACATAACAGTTATGTAATCTGAAGCTGAAAAAGGGTACTCAGTTGCAGGGAACAGATAATGAAAAGGGCCATGCAAATTGGTTTTCCTTAAAATGGCTTTTGGGGCCTTCTGATACAAACACAGGAGAGTGTGACTGTCTGAAGATAAAAAAATATCCCAACTACAACTCCCTTTGCTTTCACAAGAACATTTACACCAACACCTGTCTTGTCTTAAGTTAAGACGATGTTGATGTCGTTGTTGTTGTTGTTGTTGATTTTACATCTCAGCCACCAATTTGGGTTCATCTGTTGCGGATTGAGACTTGGAAAGAGAGCCATCCATCCATTTCTTCAACATCTCCAGTGAAGCTTTCGGCTGATCCATTGGCACCATGTGTCCTGCCTCACGTACCTTCATCCATCCATATTCCCAATTCACTCAACATGTTAGTTTTCAACACCATCCTTTTACATGCTTCTGCATATATATATATATATATAGAATGAGCCAATACCTTGAGGAAACCAAGGGGTCCATAGCTCTTCAACAGTCCTGCTTCTTTCCCATCCACCACAAATGGAACCTCCCCTGCTTCCCCAAACTTCTCTTTCCCCGACCACTCCATTGCATTCACCCACCTCGAGTTACCTTCCCTCCCACCAAAACATTTACACTATTAGCTCCAATAATTTCAGATAATTACAAAGTTCAACTCTTTGACAAAAATGAACCTACCGAGCCAATTGCAGATGAGATCATATTCCCCAGCATACACCAGAAGCTTGATTCCATCTTCCAATAGTTTAGGAATGCCAACCTCTAGATTCCTCATCCAGTCCATTAGCATCGCCTGATACACTGTCGGGCTACAGGACACAAACTCTATATCCCCGACACCTAGCGATTCCCTCACCGGTTCCAGGTTCAAGAATTTTTCCATGTTCGAGAAGTCATAGCACAAACTTCCCTCACACTTCTTCCTGATGTCATAATACTGCACAAAGGGTACAATATTATTATGTCTCATCAAACTGTTACATTCTCTGCGTAAAGAGTGCCACAGAAATTTTCACTCAACATGTGACATATGATCTCTTCTGTTGTTGGTTGAAATTGGTCTTGAAACTCATATCAGCAAGTGAAGAGAAAATTAATATGGCAATTTAGAAATCACCCATTTATCTCTCCCATTGAGATGTTGCAGTAATATCACCCTAAATGCAACTTAACACAAAACAATGAAGTGAATTTCTTAGTCTTACGTTTATCCCACTAGCATGAGCCATTACGCCGCTGAATATGGAGTTGCAAACAACATATGATACCAAACAAGAAGTTGTACCATCAGTGCCTGCAAATGAGAAAAACTAAAACCCATGAGGAACAAAAAAACAACCGAGGAATAATTTCACAGAGGAATTCTAACTGAAAGAGGGAATATTACCACAAAGCTTTATGGCTAGCTCACACAGTGGAACAATCTTGTTTATACTATCATGCTGCGATTGCGTGATTAATCCCATTTGCAAAGCAAAGTCTGGGTAGGCTGGGTATTGGATTGCAGGATCTGTAAGCCCATTTCCAATTGCAAATCCCTGTCAAAGTACATTTGTGAGAACCAACTCCCAATTAGAGAACAAGGATCCAAGGTTATTTTTAAAACCTATTACATGCCTTGAGATTAATATGAGCTCCATGATTGGCCTTATTTCCTCTATGGACTCTAGCAGCGAAAGCCGGGATGTAGTGTCCAGCATATGACTCTCCAGTTATGTAAAAATCGTTCGCTAAAAACTCAGGATGCTCCGCGAAGAAAGCCTGAGGCAACATCAGGAAACATAAATAAAACCCCATTACATCAGTATCCTTTAAACAAATCTTCCCTTGTTCTCTGATTTAAAAATAAAAAATAGGAAGTTTCATCTAACTTAAAGCATGAAAAAGGTTTTAGTAATCTTATGCAAAGGATTAGATAAAGATCTGGCGAGCTCAGAGGATATCTATTAAACAAACCTGCAGGAAATCATAAAGATCATTGCTAACTCCACTTTCATCATGACGGATGTCACGTTTGTCTGTCGAATAGCTAAAACCAGTTCCAACAGGTTGGTCAACATACAGAAGATTGGAAACCTGCAAGATCGGGACAAAGTCCATTACATATCACTTTCTTACACCTTGCAAACACAATATTTTGAAAGAACCAGGGCAGGCAGCCTCAACAGAAAATTTGCGAGCAATTATCTATGGGGGGATTGATAATCGATATATCAACAGGCTTCCGCTACAAGTGTCAGATATAGACAAGTCTCCTTATGGTTCTGAAACATTAAGGGGACGGAGAGAAGGATTAGCAAACAAGGTGATTACCTTGTCCCATCCATGCTCATTCCAAACAAGGGACAGGTTGTTAGAAATCTGGAATGGACCATTTTCATAGAACATAGCCAACTCACTGCTACATCCAGGCCCTCCAGTCAACCAAATCACAACAGGATCATCCGTCTTGTTGCGCGACTCAAAGAAGAAGTAGAACATCCTAAAACCAGTAACCAGACTGACGGTCAAAACAAAATAAAATCCTCGGGCTCTTACGCACCAAAAGGGAATCTGTACCACGCATATGCAAGCAAAAATACACGACTTTCGACCCAACCGAAAATTTTATCAATTCCAGAGCTTATTCCGAATTTCCACAGGGTCGGGGAAAAAAATCAAACCCTAAATCATCACGCAACGGCCAGATCAAATGTACAGCCAGACATGAAGCAACCCATCAGATAACGTATACAAAAAACGCATATAAATATCCTCATTCGGATCAATATTCTAGGGTTTAGAGAAAAACCTCGCGCCGCGAGAATGCGGGAGCTTGTAATAACCAGCATGATGACCCAAATCATCGACGTTGACTCCACCGTCGTGGATAAGATTCGGGAACCTGAATTTCCGCTCGACGATCCTCGATCCTTCCATGGCGTTCAAAGGCTGATCACGGCCATCGATGACGTTCACTTCCTCCTTGGGGAAAAGGTTCAGCTCCCGGATCAGCTGCTCGGCCCGCGAAGACGGGAAGCTCCATTTCTCAAGGCCACGATCATTGAGAAGAAGAGACGAAGACTGCGAGGAACATGCAATGAGGACGACGAAGTGCACGAGAACGTTAAAAAAAGTGGCCTTCTCCATTTTTTTTCCCTCTGGCCGTTGCTTCTGTGTTTCATCTCTCACGGAAGACAGTATATAAAAGATGGGAGAGTGGGGACACGTGGCAGAAAATGGCAGAGGGGTCTTGGGATGTGGGCCGAGAAACTTGGGGATATTTTGTGAATTTAAGGAGATAGTGGGCAAATCTGTTAAAACTGTCTTTAAAAAGAACGGGAAATGGATTCCGAATGAAGGGTGAGGATTGCGTGTCAGGGAATCAACGGTCAGGATAGGATTCACGCGACTTGTATGGGAAGTAATGTGGGTCCCATACGAAATTTCTATAAACTATTTAAACAAGAAAAATAAAAAGAATCCGACCTGCCGGAATCGAACCAGCGACCTAAGGATTTCTTTGGAAATGACCCACTACAGTCCTCCGCTCTACCAACTGAGCTAAGGTCGGTTTGAGATTTTGCGTAAAACAATCCTTTATTGTACAAGAAAAAACAGAGATATTTCATATATAAATTATGTTAGTAATTATATGATTTGTATTATATAATGGAAGTTTTGGTGCCCTTATATCACTCTTTGTATGTATTTTTTGAAAAATAAAAAATCTCCTAAGAAAACATTTAACTGCTTAATTTATGATCTATAAATTTACAAAATCGTTATTACACTCACCATATCATATTTATATTTATTCATATTCAGAAATTATGGCAATGATGGTTATTAATGGGGTTGTCCATTATTAAATTTAAAACTATTATGAATTCGGCGAATGGATATGAGTCGCTGCAAGGATGCCCAGTTTCTTATTTTATTTTCCAATGGGCCAAATTTATATTTGAGCCGTTGAACCCATGAAAATAAACGTAAATGGGCCTTTGCCACGTGGTTTGGTTTCTAGGGTTTCCTTTAATTGAAGGTATGAACACAATAAAAGCGCAGATATATCAAAGCTAACAAAATCTAGAAGAGTTTCACAGTTTTGGAGTGGAATCGTAGCAAGAGGTAAATAACCCACCTCCTTAAATCTATCTTCTTCTGCGTTTCTCCTCGCTCTCCGTGTGTTTTTCCTCTCTGGGCTGAAAATTTTTAGGGTTTTTGTGTTTCTAGGTTTCACTTAATTTTGTGTTTTGTTGAAGGAATTTATCGTCGGAAACGAGTAGAGATGGCTTCGAAAGAAGGTAGCAGGATATTCGTCGGTGGGTTATCTCCCGACGTGACTGAAAGAGAACTTGAGAGAGCTTTTAGCCGTTTCGGGGAGATTCTCGATAGCCAGGTACGATGAACCCCGAACTCGATTATATTCTATTTTCTCGGTATAAGAAAAATTGTTTGTCACTAGTCTGTTTGGCTGCTGAGAAATTGGAAGATGCTTATCTGCGAAAGTGTTGAGTTTTTTCTTTTCGGGTTAAAAAAAATTGCGTTTTGTGGTACTCTCTGTCATATCTTGGCTTGTTAAGCGATGTTGGATGTGTCTCTTAGTTGAAAAGTTCTGGGTTTGATTGCTTATAGAATCAAACATGTCTAAATTTATTAGTTTTAATTGTTACTTTCCCACTTGTTTTGTGGATAAAATGCCATAAGACAGCAATAAATGGATAAGTATATGGATATCTGGTTAAAATTCTTTGAGTTTGGCAAAGTGTTGATATTTTTGTTGTCTCCCCTCTACCCCTATCAATTGACTTCTCTTTTGTTTCTTGGATGCTGGTAATGGGCCCCTGAAACTCTATAGATGGATGATTTAGTGGTGAATGGTGATTTTGATCAGACAACACGGGTAAAGTTGAGAGTGTGCTCTGTGTTAGAAAAACCTATCTAAGACTACGAGTATATGGAACACAGAACTGTTTGAGCCTCTGAGCGAAGTGATCTTCAGGGTATTGGAATTTGGTTTTCTCGGCGCCACAGACCCATTACCGATCACTTTTAGATTCTTCTGTGATGATAAAGGTCATTACCTACTCAGGAAGATTCAGTTGTTTTCAGAGCTAACTACTTGCTGCATGACAGAAGTATCCAGCGAAATTGGTCTGTGCTGACAGGTTTCTGAAGTGTACTGTACTAATACTGGGTTATGGTTGCCTTCTTCCAAATTATCTTTGTCTTTTGTATTTTCTAAGTTGATCTTCTGATCATTCGCCATTTAGGGAAAAAAAGTGTGTTTTTTCACATTGATTACTAGATGGGGCGAGACACATGATTGTATGTGTGTAAGATGCTCCAATTAGGGAAATGTTCTTCTTGCCCTTCAGGTAGATGAAGCTGTGTTTTCACCTGAAGAAACTCTGCATATGTCCAAGTATTACCTTTGTGTTCCTTGCTAAGGCCAGTTCCGCATCTCAGCTGTATAGCTTCAGTGGATTACCCTTTTCCCCGAGACACATCAAGCCTTAGCTCTAGCTGTTTAAGTACTTGAGCATAGTATAAACTTCAGTCAGAAAGATTACACACAATTGATGCAGACCTCCTTCTCGATCCTGACATGTGTTCCGCATCTCAGCTTTCTAGATTCAGTGGATTGCTTTCACCGCATGTGGAGTCTAATAGTTTTGTTGGTTGTCCTAACTTGTGTTTTTGTCAGTCCGTTCTCCTTCTCAATCTTAACATGTGTTCCTACTTAAAGATTTTGAGCAAGTCGACCACCTACACCTTTGTGCCTGGACCATTTCTCTGCATGCACTAATCTTCGGTGAGAGCCTTTGGGACCAAAAGTAGCTATTTGTCTGGGATGGTAACCTACTTACTGATTTGGGTGACATGTTAAAGATTTGGTTAGCTCCAATAGTTCTGAACAACTTGAGCTTGGAACTTAAGGAGTTTACCTTATGTTGAAAATGGATGTTTAACCAGGGAAGATTTTAGCTTTAAACTATTGGACCATTAACTTCCTTCAGCCTGTAGAACCTTCCCATCGATTTCGTAACTCTTTCCCTGGCTGTTAAGACTAGAGAATTGAATGTGAGATCGAATTTGCGCCTTTTGACGCTTAAGTGTGCTCTTGTGTTCTTCTAGTTGTCATTTTGAGTTGGAAAACGTTTCTGTGGTGCATGCTGCTTCTGCTGCAGATCGGAGATTTGCTTAGAAGATGTTTCAGTTTCTGGTGATCTCGGGTTTTTGTATCAGTATTTTATGATCACCAGGGGAGGTTGGTATACTATGCAAACGACAGGAACATGTGGTGTTGCAGAAAAAATAGAACAGCTGGGGTTTTTTTCTTGATGTGACCTGACCAGTGCTAGATATGATCTCTGGGATTATTGTGTGCCTTTACAATTTTGACAGTGCCCTTCTGCTCAGTTTTTGCTACAAGTATGCATAAAGTATGTAGGAATCAGCTTTAATGGTGTGTTGTGTATAGATCATGCTGGAAAGGGATACAGGCCGATCACGTGGATTTGGGTTTATCACTTTTGCTGATCGTCGGGCTATGGATGATGCCATTAGAGAGATGCATGGGAGGGACTTTGGTGATCGAGTCATTTCAGTGAACAAGGCTGAACCCAAGATGGGCCGAGATGATGTGGAAAGCCATGGCGGCTACAGGGGTGGCGGCAGCTACTTATCAGCTGGAAAAGGAAACTATGGCGGAGGTGGAGTAGGTGGCCGAGTAGCTGATGATGAATGCTTCAAGTGTGGAAGGGTTGGCCATTGGGCTCGTGACTGTCCCTCTGCTGCTTCTGGTGGCCGAGGTGGACCTGTTGGTGCATTCTCGTCCCGTGGTATGTTTGGAGGCTCTGCTAGCCGTGTGGACCGTTATGGTGACCGTGTGGACCGCTATATGGATCGGGAACGATACATTGATGATCGGTATGACAGCTCCCGACTCGGTGTCAGAGACCGGTTTGACAGTAGGGATGCCTACATTGGCCGTGACCGTTACGCCAATGACAGGTACCTTTTGTTTTCAACTGTACTATGTTTCACTTGATCCAGGATTGAAACCGGCCCTTATAACCGAAATACCCGAGTTTCGCCTGTTATGTTCTCGTCCAACTTAAAATGATGTTTTCCATGCTTAAAAAACATGCCCTTGGCGATGATACAGGTACGAGCCACCGGCAGATCGCTTTGCGGGTGACAGATATGGCGGGAGGTCTGACCGTTACCCTGTAAACGGCTATGAGAAAGCACGACCCTATGACAGGGACGTCGGCCCGAGAGCAGGCAGCGACAGGTACGGAGCTGGAGTCAGGGGACCGATGCGGGACGAGGGAAGAGGGTTCCGCAATAGGGCCGGTCCTTATGACCGCCCGAGCCGAGGTGGTGCGCCGCCATCCTCGTCGTCGTTCGACCGTTACTAGGGCTGTAGTGTAACTCGGATGGTTGTTAGGTTAAACTTGGTAGCGCAACTGCGAATGCGGCCCGTCCTGTGGGGGTTGTAAAGATTTTTTCTCCATAGGCTTTATTTTCAGAACCCTTTGGTTTATTGGTGCCTCCCTTTGCTTTCCTTTTCTTCTTTTCCTTTGATGAATTTCTACGTCGTTACCCTAAATGGATGGATTTTCATGTGCTATGCTCCCATAATTATTATATATGTTTCTCATAAATGTATGTAATTTATCGTGATTGCTCAATAAAATATAATGGAAAATAAAAATATAAAACTATATTGGAAATTATGCACACAAAAAATACAACTTGCTTCGCCCGTTGTAATATCAAATGGGCATACCTTCCTTTTAGTACATAGTTTTGATTTCTATCGATATAAATATTCCTTTTTATAATTATTACTGTTCCAGAAGCCACTTAAGGGTTCTATATTCATATTTTTTTTTTCATGAGTTTATTTATGTATATTATAATAATATTATTTAACATGAATAATAATTAATATATTTTTGAAAAACCTTCATTTAAATCTTATTTATCTATAAATATTAATAAACACACATCTCTTGTAAATACATTAAAAAAACTATTGATTTAGGATATATAAAATTTCAAGATGACATATTTTTAAAAGTTTTTTTTTAATAAAATCATCATTAATGATATATCTACAAGTATACAGGATTGTAGGTTGTAACTGCTTGTGGAGAATCTGCAGGATTCTCTCACTCTTTCGCCTAACTAAATAAATAAAATCGCAAGTGAATCTCTTAATTCATAATTAGCTCTTAATCTAATCCATTTCTAACCCGATTTTCCTCAACTAATTACACTCTCTTATCCATAATCCCTTTCTATATAATCCCCTCATCCTCCGACGCTTTTGCACACTGACCAACAGTTTTCCATATACGCAAGAAGAGAAGAGCTCTTATGTCTCCCTCCAATGGCGGCAACAGAGGCGGCGGAGGAGTCGCCGGATTCCTCCTCCAGGTCCTCCGTGGGCGGTGGTTCATGATGTTCGCCTCCTTCCTCATCATGGCCGGTGCCGGAGCAACCTACCTCTTTGGTGTGTACTCCAAAGACATCAAAGCCACTCTTGGCTACGACCAATCCACTCTGAATCTCCTCAGTACCTTCAAGGACCTCGGAGCCAACGTCGGTGTCCTCTCCGGCCTCCTCGCTGAGGTCACTCCGACGTGGTTCGTCCTCCTCGTCGGTTCCGCCATGAACTTCGGCGGCTACTTCCTCATCTATCTCTCTGTCACCGGCAAAATCCCTAACCCTAAGATCTGGCAAATGTGTATGTTCATCTGTATCGGCGCCAATTCCCAGAACTTCGCCAACACTGGAGCTCTCGTCACCTGCGTGAAGAATTTCCCAGAGAGCCGAGGTATGATGCTTGGTCTCATGAAAGGATTTGTCGGTCTCAGCGGTGCTGTGTTCAATCAGCTCTATTTCTCGATCTACCGTGACGATTCGAAGTCTCTGATCCTCCTCATCGCTTGGCTCCCTGCGGCGATCTCTGTGGTGTTCGTGTACACGATCCGAGCCATGAAGATTTCGTCTCATCCCAACGAGCTCAAGGTGTTTTACCAGTATCTGTGGATCTCCATCGTTCTCGCTCTCACTCTCATGGCTTTGACAGTTGCTCAGAAGCTCTGCAAATTCTCCCACATCGGCTACGTCGCGTCCACAATCGCGGTCTGCGTTTTGCTTTTCACGCCGCTCATAATCGCGTTTCGGGAGGAGTACGCCACGTGGAAGGCCAAGAAACACGACGCAACCGCCGTCGCCGTAACCGTCGGGAAGGTCGACGTCGTCGTCGAGGACAAAAACGTCATTTCCCATAACAAGGACGGGAACGAAACGGAGATCGTGGAGGACAAAACGGTAATTTCCGATACGACGGCGACGGAGGACAAAATCGTAAATAAAGACGTCCCCTGCTGCGGGAACATCTGCAGACCACCGAAGAGAGGAGAGGACTACGGAATCTTACAAGCTTTGCTCAGCGTCGACATGATCATCCTCTTCATCGGGACATTCTGCGGATTGGGTTGCAGCTTGACGGCAATGGACAACCTGGGTCAGATCGGTGAGTCACTCGGATACCCACAACTCGCCATCAGCACCTTCGTCTCTCTCACCAGCATATGGAACTACTTCGGCAGAGTCTTCGCCGGATTCATCTCCGAGATCATCCTCGTCAGGTACAAAATCCCAAGACCCTTGATAATGGCTCTTGCCCTCGCTCTCTCCGCCGTCAGCGACATCATCGTCGCCTACCCGTTCCCTGGTTCGGTGTACTTAGCCTCTGTTCTGATCGGATTCACGTACGGAGCCCAGTTAACGCTTCTCTTCACCATAATCTCCGAGCTCTTCGGGCTCAAGTACTTCTCCACTCTCTTCAATTGCGGACAACTGGCGAGCCCGATCGGTTCGTACGTGTTCAACGTGAAGGTTGTCGGGAAACTGTACGATGTGGCGGCGATGAAGCAGTTGGCGGCGAGAGGGATGAGGAGAGAGATGGTGAAGGAGTTGACTTGCGTAGGGAATGACTGCTACAAGCTCTCGTTCTCGATTCTCGCGGCGACGAACGTGGTCGGAGCGATCGTGTTGATGGTTCTCGTCCTCAGAACGAGGAAGTTCTACAGAGGTGACATTTACAAGAAGTTTAGGGATGAAATGGCTGCCAATGGACGGGAACTTGCTTTGTCCGGTCAACAAAATAATTAGATTTTCTTTTTCTTTTCTTTTTTCATTTTATTTTAGTTAATTCCAATTTGCGTAATCCCGTTAGTAAATAATCAAAATTTTCCATTTTTGTAGTCATAATTCAATCTCCAATGTATTACCACAATTACCCTTATACCCTTGCGCCTCCCTCCACACTCGGCATATGATATAATATAAATGGATTATGTAGTAACTTTCGTCTTATTCTCATATTTTAAACATGATTAATCTATTATATATTTTTTTTAATAAATATTTGAGATCCTCTCTATAATTTTCACTTATCTACAATTTTTCCAATTAGTTAGATATTCAACAAAATAGTTAGATTTTTTTTCCTTTTCATTTTAGTTATTTCCAATTTGCATAATCCTTTGGTAAATAACAATAAGTTTCCATTTTTCTAATCATAATTCAATCTCCTATATATTACCATATCCATCCGTACGCCTCCGCAGTCCCCACGTTCTGCATATAATGTCTTGGTAATGTGATCAATTTTGTATCCTCATTTTTAAAATAGGATTACTCTATTTTAATTCATATTTAGTTTTTCTCTCTATATCTATCAATTGTCTACGTTTTTCAATTAATTATATAGATATTTTTAAGATTTTAATTGGTGATTTTTTTTAATTCTATTAATTATTTAAATTTGTTTACGATTTGCTTATCTTCACTGTTATATTATTTAAAATGTCTTTTTTAGACACTTTTTTTTTCTACAAAAAATTTAAGTATTAGATTTTCGTTTTATGTTACAAGTTTGTTATTTTTGCTTGCAAAATATCTATTATCTCGGTTTGTTGAATAGAGCATTAATCTTTTTTATATGAAAAAGTTATGATTTCTATTAATTATATTGAGCTTCTCTTTGTAATTAATTATTTAAATTTGTATTTTTTTTGTTTAAAGGTATTATTTATTTGCTGTGAATTTGTTTTCATTCTATCATTATTATTGTGTTAATATTGTTTTTAGTTTTGGTTTGAGTTCTATTCAATGATTTCCTAATTTAATTTTTCATTTTACAAAAAAAAATAAATCTATTCATTTTTATATTAGATTCGATTATAAATTTTTTAATAAAATATACTCATTATCTGTAAAATAATTTTTTTTTAACTTTCGATTTTAATTCATTTTTCTCATTATAAAAAATATATCTCATTATATTTTTATACTGGATTTGGTCCAATTACAATTATAAATGTCAACCAATAATTGTTTCTTGGTTTCCTACAAAATAATTTGTTATATCAGCCTTTATTCAAGTTTGAAATTCTATAAAAGAAATCGCATTCTACAAATTACAACGACATACACCCAAAAAAAAATTACAATAACATAAATGATTTTTTTTTCTAAAGTCACCAATAATTTTTTTAAAAATAAAATGGTGTCGTCCGACCTTTTTCTAATGGGCCTAACAACTGCTAAAGCTCAGTAAGTTGCCGAAAAGGCCCAGTGATATATCCGTTGCGCTCCCTTATAAGAGGGGTAAAACGGTAAATTCAAATAAGTTGCGATATTTACTTATTATAAATATGGACCGCCGCATCGTCTCTCCTCTCTCCCAAAGCACTTTGTTTCTCTTCTTCACTCTCTTGTTCGAGATGGATTTCTTCGCGTGATCGCACATTTTCGGCGAATCGTACAAGCGCATCGTCATGGATCGCAAGGGAAAGCAGGTTGCCGGAATTGGTTCATATTCCGGCGGGATGAAGCGGAAGAGGGTAGATGACGGAGAAGCGTCCGGGAGTCGGAACAAGAGGAGGAATCCCGAAGTTCTTCAGTTCATCGAGGATTCTTCTGTTGTTGGATACTATGGTGAAAGCAGTGACGAGGAGAATTTCATCGATGGTATGTGAATTTCTCTTATCCGTTGTTCTTTTCTCTTCGAGGTCTCTAGGGTTTTGCCTCCGTTTGTTCTGTCTCTGTGATTTTGTGTTTGCATGGATTCCTATGGTTCTGCAACTGATTTTCTCCACGTTTTCATTTCCGTTCTTATGTACTATGGCTGTCTTGGATTCTTGATTCTGATTTGTTTGGTGAAATGGCGACGAACGTGGTGTCGGTTTTTTGGGGAAAGCGAATATCTCACTCTTGCTTGGATATTCAGTATGTTTTTTCATCTGCATTTGGGTGTTTCCTTATTATCCACTGTGGGTATCTTTTGGATTCACCTCCTGAATTCTTTTTTTTGGGCAATGCGATGATGTATTAGCTTCAGATGGCTTTTTTATCCTGTTGTGGTGGACTCGGAGGCTACATGGTAGAGATTTGTGTCCTCTGGTTGATTGTTTGTGATGAAGCGACCAGGGCTGGGAACATTTTTCTTGCGACAGTATTAAATCCTAATTTTTTTCCTACGATTTTTGTCTCACATGCGCTGTGGTTGATCATTGCTGGATCTTGCTTCTGTTATAGCTTTCAATACATTTCAAAGTTCATGTTAACTGCCGACTGATTGTTAATCCACTTGATCATGGAGAACCTGATTGTTTGTTTTCAAGCTGCATGTGTGGCTATTTGGTTTGCAATGCTGAATTTTTTTCTCCTTTCTCTGACTAATCTTTTGGAGCAGATATGGAAGACGATGCAGAGCCTGAGAAGAATGATAAGAATAATCCAGCGAAAACCAGCGACCCTGCTTTTGTTTTCCCAAAGGAGGAAGAGATTGATGAGGAAGAATATGATAAAATGATGGAGGATAGATATAAACCAGGTTCTGGATTTGGTAGATATACTGATGATGACGTTAAAAGATCAATTGAAATGGATTCTCTTGCTCCTACCTCTAAGGATCCACTACTTTGGAAAATCAAATGCGTGGTATGTTATCTTGTCTAGATCGATTGACTGATTCTATGTTTATGCATGACTATAATTTTCCTGCGTCTGTTAATTCCATGAAACTCGTTGTTGTAGACTGGACGGGAGAAGCACTCCGTTTTCTGTTTGATGCACAAGTTTGTTGAATTGCGGAAGTTACACACAAAATTGCAGATAATATCTTCTTTTTTCTTGGAACATGTCAAGGGTTTTATATTCATAGAAGCTGAAAAGGAATGCGATATTCTCGAGGTACTATATATTCGGTGTGTTTATGTTGGATTTGGATGTTGGATTGCTGTACCTGAGAGTATCTCTAGGTATTTTGCTTTGGCCGTAATCAATACATGTATGATATATCACATGAACTTTTTGTCTAGGCATGCAAAGGATTACCTGGTATATATTCAACTAGTATGATGTTGGTTCCAAAAAATGAGGGTCCTCGCTTGCTTACTATCCAAAAAAAAACTAAAAAGTTCACTGGGAGCACATGGGCTCGTGTGAAGAATGGGAAATACAAAGGAGATATTACGCAGGTACCTTGTTGGCATTATTGTCTCGTTTTCGGTGTAGTGCAATCTAGCTAGAGTTCATCAACGATTCAACGTTTTGTGCTCTATGTGCTGGTAGGTTGTGGCTGTCAATGACACCCAGAGAAAAGCGCTCATAAAGCTAATACCAAGGATTGACCTACAAGCATTGGCCCAAAAATATGTAACTTTCAGATCCCCGAGCTCATTTGTTCTCTGAAGTTTGCCCCCATCTTTCTCTGTGATTGTCTCCTTTAGCATTATTGTCATCATTCACTTCATGCTTTTCTATTTTTATTTGTAACAGGGTGGTGGAGTTGCTCTCGAGAAAGGCATGGTTCCAGCTCCGAGATTGATCTGTCCTAGTGAACTTGAGTAATATGCATGATCTTTTCTCTTTTTGGTTTATTTAACCATGACTAAGTTTCTAATTTTTCTTCTTTTATGTTGTGCGACAGAGAGTTCCGACCTCTTATTCAAGTTAGGCGTGACCGAGATACTGGAATGACTTTTGAGAATCTTGATGGCCTTATGCTGAAAGATGGATATCTCTACAAAAAAGTATCCTTGGATTCGTTATGCTCATGGGGTGCTGTGCCATCAAAGGATGAGATATTAAAATTTATGCCTGTGGGGCGGAAAGAAGCTGGTGATGTGGAGTGGATTTCGGAAATTTATGGTGAAGAGAAGAAAAAGACTGTTCAAGTCGGCAGAGCGGGTGGGAAAGGAGAGAGTTCATCAGGTTCTATCCCTGAAAATGGATTTGGCTTATATAACCTAGTTTGTTTCAGGTAAGTTTTGTTCAGAATTATGTTTTTTAATCAACCTTTATGGCTTTATCAACCTTTGTTGTGGTTGCATGGATCGATGTGCCATCTCTTTCCTTCTGCTTGCAGTCGAAGAGATTTTGGACTGATTGTCGGTATGGAGAAAGGTGACAGTTACAAGGTATGTTTTCACCAACACCAGCAATCTCTTATTCCTCTACTGGTCGGTTCTAATAACTGGAAAAATGTACCAGATTCTAAAAGAAGGTGCAGATGGGCCCGTTGTTGTCACTGTTGGAAAAAAGGAATTGAAGAATGGCACGTTCGACACAAAATTTACTGCCTTAGATCTAAATAAGAAGCAGATATCTATCAGTGATGTCGTTAAGGTTTCAAAAGGTCCATTAGAGGTGCGATTTCAACTTCATATCCTTACTTGCTTTTTCTGCATTGCTGCATAAGATTTAATGTGCGTCAAATAATGCAAAGCTTAGTAAAGGTCCATTAGATGTGCAACTTCAACTTTATATCCTTATATATTTTTTCAGCATTGCGGCATAAGGTTTAATGTGCATCAAATAATGCAAAGCTTAGTAAAGTGGTACATACCTTTCATATTTAGGGTAAGCAAGGAGTTGTGAGGCAAGTATATCGAGGGGTCATATTTTTTCATGATGAGAATGAAGAAGAAAATGGTGGCTATGTTTGCTGCAAATCTCAAATATGTGAGAAAATCAAGCTCTTCACTGACGTGTCTAACGAAAAGGTAAGGTGTTGCAGTCACCTGGGCTGTCGTTTAATGGATAGCCAGATATTGATGTTCTGATGATGTTTTATTTTTTGTTCAGACTGGTGGATGTGTTGCTTCAGGTTTTGGGGATTCTGTATCTTCCCCAAGATCACCTCTCTCACCGGAAAATGAGTTTCAGCCTAAGGAAAATTTCAGTAAATGTAAGTATTATCTGTTCCCACTATTCTCATTAGTTGTTGCAGACCTTCTCACGAATGATCATGAAATGCAGCCAATCGAGGAGACAGGGATAGTGGGTACTCTATTGGTCAAACCCTGAGGATACGTGTGGGTCCATTAAAGGGGTACCTCTGCCGGGTCCTAGGTATACGTTATTCTGATGTTACGGTCAAGCTTGATTCTCAGCATAAAATTCTCACAGGTTTGTTGAATACTTCTAATTTTTCTATTGTTTGGTATTGTTCTATTTTGACTGTTAAATTGCTTCTTTCATCGACTTACCTGCAGTTAAAAGTGAGCATCTTGCTGAGGTTCGTTGCAAAAATTCTGCGTTAACAAGGTGAGAGATTTTGTGTTATGTTGCATTTCTTTTATATTCATTCATTGTCTGTCTTGTCACTTGGCAACTCTTCTTACATGTCATCTCTTTGCTTTGAAAGCGAGGATGCAGGGCCTAGTTCATTTAAACCGTTTGATTTACTTGGAACTGAAGGCAACTCTGAAGGTTGAGATCTCTTCTTCATGTTTCAATATTTATTTTTCAAATTTGGGTTTATTTGAATAGTAAATGTGGAATTTGAGTTTGATGGCCTTCTCCTGCCATTTTAATTTTTTTTGGCAAGATCTTTTCTTTGTTTCTCCTCAGTTCTTATTTCGATTGTGTGATTTGACATCCCATTCCATCCTTCCTATTTAAATTTTCTTCTTTGTCTACTGGAAGATTGGACGAAGGGAGCAGGGGCATCAGCAGAGGGCGGTGGGTGGAACATGGAAGGTTCTTCTTCAGAGTGGTAAGTCTCTTTGTGGTAGCTCCTTTTAGAATTAAATTCTTTCTCTTTTTGTAGTTTGATTTTGCCTTGTATTACGATATCTTCATGCCTACATAAATTGTGGAAATAAATGAATTACTGGCTAAATATGTTTGCTGTAATTGATGTTTGAGCTCATTGATTTCAGTACTGGATTTCATTTCTTGTAACGTAATATCTATTGGGAGAATCTCATTTGCAGTCCTGGTAATGGATTTGTAACTCTTTAATGATGTTAACTTATTACAAATGATTGCCTCATGGAAATCAATTGTTGCCTATATTGATGTTGCTTGATTTCATCACTTTGATACACGATCTTATAATCATGTTGCAGGAGCTCCTGGGGTAGTAAGCCTACAGCTGGAGATTCGGTGAGTCTGAACATGAGATTTTTCGTTCTTATTGCTTTTGGTTATGTCTCTGTGGCTTGTGGTAGTGAGTCTTAAGATCACGTGCTTTCTGACTGTGCAGTCTCAGCAACAATCAGTCCTGAATGATAATAATTCATCGTGGGCTAGAGCTGCAGAGAATGACAAAACTACCGATCAAGCTGGTGGTTGGAACTCCTGGGGCAAAAAAGATGTTCCTGAAACTGACACTGGTGATGGTACATCTGGTGGTGGTTGGGGAAAGACAGCAACTCTTGATGCAGATGCAGCAGGCTCTTCTAAGGTCGAAGCATCTTCTTGGAGCAAACAAGAAGTTTCCGCTTTTAATAAAGAAGATTCTGGTTCTGGTTGGGGAAAAAGGGATATGGACTCTGTTTGGAATAAGCAAGATGGGAGTACTAATGGAGGTGGGGGTGGAGGTGGAAGTCTGTGGGGAAAGTCAGATGAAGGTTCTTCATGGGCTAAGCATGGAGAAAGCTCCAATGTGAGTAAACGTGATGAGGGCTCGGGATGGGGTACACGAGCTGGGGGTTCTAATTCAAGTCAGAATAAAGAAGAATCTTCTTGGGTTAAACAAGATGGAGACACTGGTTGGGGTAGTGCAAATGATGGTTCTGATAAGTCCCAAAATGATGGAGGTGCTTCTGGATGGGGAAACAGTGATGGAGGATCTAGTTGGAGTAAACAAGATGCGTATTCCAGGGCTAGTCAGAAAGGAGGAGGTTCTTGGGGACAACAGGATAAAGGTTCCGATTGGAGCAAGGAAGGATCCACTTGGGGCAAACAGGATGGAGGATGTGGTTCAGGGGAGAAGGAGGATGTTTCTTGGGGTAAAAAACTTGGAGACTCCCAATCCAGTGAAAAGGAAGTTCCTGGATGGGGTAAACAGGATGGAGGAGGATCCTCGTGGAACAAAGAATCTGATTGGAAACAATCAGCTACTGACAAATCAGGCCTGGAACAACAAAACTGGGAAAGGCCACAGGCATTTGATAGCAGGGGTGGTCGGGGGTTTGGCGGGAGACGAGGAGGTCGCCGAGGTGGCCGGGATCAATTTGGTAGAGGAAGATCCTTTGGTAGGGGGCAGTCATACGGGAATTCATCACAATTTTCTGCCAATGATTCTGCGGTAAGTTTTATGTTTTTTTGTGGAGTATATAAATTTTTCTTCCTATCTACGAATTTGTGTATTAGGTACATTTCCAGTTGAGGCCTGACTTCGTAAATTTCTGGTTACTGTAGGACCCTACTCCGTGGAGTAAACAAGGTGGAAGTTCTGGTTGGGGTGGACAAGACGGAGGTTCATCATGGAGGAAACAAGGTGAAGGATCTGGCTGGGGTAAACAAGATAGTGGTTCGGCTGAGGGCAAGGAAGGCGGTTCGAGCTGGGGTAAGGAAGGAGGTGCCTCTTGGACCAAACAAGATGGTGGTTCCTCCTGGGGTAACAAACAAGATGGTGGTTCGGCTTGGAGCAAGCAAGATGAAGGCTCCTCCTGGGGTAAGAAGCCGGATGGTGGTTCCTCATGGGGTAACAAACTAGATGGTGGTTCCTCATGGGGTAACAAACAAGATGATGGTTCTTCCTGGGGTAACAAACAAGATGGTGGTTCTTCCTGGGGTAACAAACAAGATGGTGGTTCTTCCTGGGGTAACAAACAAGATGGTGGTTCGGCTTGGAGCAAGAAAGATGAAGGCTCCTCCTGGGGTAACAAACAAGATGGTGGTTCTTCCTGGGGTAACAAACAAGATGCTGGTTCGGCTTGGAGCAAAAAAGATGAAGGCTCCTCCTGGGGTAAGAAGCCGGATGGTGGTTCCTCATGGGGTAACAAACTAGATGGTGGTTCTTCCTGGGTTAACAAACAAGATGGTGGTTCCGCATGGGGTAACAAACAAGATGGTGGTTCGGCTTGGAGCAAGCAAGATGAAGGCTCCTCCTGGGGTAAGAAGCCGGATGGTGGTTCCTCGTGGGGTAACAAACAAATTGGTGGTTCGTCTTGGACAAAACAAGATGAGAATGCCCCTTCGAACAAGCATGATGGAGGCTCCACCTGGGGTAATAAGACAGATGGGGTCTCGACTTGGAACAAGAATGACACTGACTCGGGTTGGGGTAAACAGCAGGATGCAGGGACATCCTGGAGCAAACAAGATGATGGTGCAGCATCTGGTAATAAGCTAGATGATGATGGTACTGGTGGGTCTAGCCGGGGCAAACATTCTGGCTGGGGAAACCAGGATAACAGTGGCAAATCCAGCTGGAACAGAGACGGTGAAAACGGGAGTTCAAGCTGGGGAAAGCAGAATGATCAGGGAGGCGGTTCCAGCTGGGCAAAACAGGAAGATGGCGGCGGTTCTAGACAGTGGAATGATCAGAGCAGAAGTTGGGAGGAACAGAGGGATTTTTCTGATGGAAACCGTGGATTCGGTGGAAGAAGAGGGGGAGGGTTTCGTGGAGGTAGGAGCCAGTGGGGTAGAGGAGGAGGAAGATCATTTGATCAATCTGGCGGCTGGAAGAGAGACCAAGGAGGCGATGGTGGACCGGACTGGAAGAAAGGGTGGGGAGAGGATGCGGATAAGGGGGAAGGTTCGGGGTGGGGAAAGAAAGACGAGCCATCATCTAATGGCTGGAACAATGGATCTGGAAGCAATGGAGGGAATGATCAAGAAGGGAATGCTGCTGGGAACAGCCACGAGGAGGCATGGGGCAAAGCATCATCCTGGGGAAAGGGAAATGATAAGGCAGATGGAGGCAACAATGGAGGTTGGTAAGTATCTATCTTTCCACCGCCACTTCTATTATCTCCATGAAAGCTTCAAGTCTTAGGAAAGATTGGAAGAAACTTCTAATTAGGTTCTGTCTTTTTTTTTTCTTTTTGGCTCCTCACTCTCAGTTCATGAGCTGGATTTTTTGTTGTTTTTTTCGGTATCTCGGGCTGAGATTATTGACCGATCATCGCGATGTGATTATGGCCATCTTTTGTGCTTATTAGTTTTTGTTTCTAATTTCATGTTTAGATCTTCCGTTTTTTTTTTTGTTAATTGTGATGACAAGTTTCTGTGATTTTAGGCGCAGCATCATATATATATATATGCGTGTACACGTCAAAGCAAAGATGAAGCAGTATCTTCAACTTTTTTTGTTTTTAGTTTTTAGTTTTTTTTATAGAAGACAAGAGAGAGAATGAAAGAAGATAAAGCTGATCACCGCTCCCTCCCACCAACAAAATTATTTCTTCTTCGAGTCTCCTAATCTTTTTCTCTTTTCCACACCTAAAATTTGCTAGTTTTCTCCCCTAAATTTCAACACGACATTTTTTAAGAATCCTCCTCCAATCGTGAACAAATACCAAAAGCTAGCCCATCATATAGCTATATACCTCCTTTCTTTGGATTCTATATATATATATATATATACCCTCTTGAAGAAGGTAAGAGATCATCATCATCATGGTCTGTGTGGTGTTACATACAAAACTACGATGATAGTCAGTAATATCCGCAAGACTGCGTCCGAATTCGGAGTAGGCCTTGGTGCTGAACTGATCCTGAATATCGCCGAGAAAGGGTCGCCGCCCTTCGTCCGTCCGGTGGTGGTGGCCCTTCCATCGCCCCCACTGTTCCCCGGAATCGCCCCTCCTTGGCCGTTCCTCCCACTGCACACAAAAAGAGTTGTAAACCGTAATTTTTTTCCCCTTTTGTAATTCTCTGTCTTTACGGTCCAAGAAAATGGTTAAAGGTTAGATCTAAGCTCTGAATAATCAATAAGCCACATTCCCATCTTTGCTTTTGCAAATATACATATACATATACATATATATATACAGTTTTCACTCAAGGGTCCCATTTGGGTACTGTTTTTGCTGGAAAGCAGAACAAAGGAGAATCTAATCTAAACTCTTGCACGGATATATATGGCGTGCCCCTATTTATATATATATATATATATATTCCTTATCAACTTTCACTATGTAAAGCCAACTTTTGCTTCCTCATCGATCCAATTATAATCTCCTCTAAGCAAAGCATACCAAAACCCTAATTCGGGTTTGGAGAAATACCAAGTTTTCTTATAACGACAAACACTAAAACCCTAAACGGGATGAAGATCTTTGGGTCAAAAGGAAATGAATCTTTTTCTTCAAAAAAAGAAGGAAAGAGATTGCATCCAGAAATGGTCAAGAAAAGCATATTGATAAAGACAGTAGAAGGCTTTTAGATCTCATCCCCCACGTGCGGAGGAAAAGATTGAAAAAAAAGGTTCAGTTAGTGCATGTGCATGCATGTTCATATATGTTACGTCACGGACCAATTTTATTTCACAACTGTAATTAACATTAATTGAAACGTTATTAAAATTTAATAAACGTTAAAATTAAGGTTTTTTAATGAAAGATCAAAAAGGGCAGAAAAACATACGTGGGATCACCAAAGACGCCGGCATTAAGGGTGAGTTGGTCGATGAGAGCGGCTGCGCGAGGCTGAACGCTGGTTGCTCGAGCGTACTCGTTGGCCGCACCCTCACCTGACGGCACGAAATACGCACCGTTCACCATCATGTCCCCGTCCGTCCTCCAGTTCCATCCCGACCACTCTCTCTCGTCACTGTCCACCCGTTTTGTCACCTTTCCGAAATACATGACCGTATCCGAACTAATTAAGTCCGATGTTAAAAAGTCGAATGGATATGATTTTTCTAAAAAAGAATTTAAACCGAATCCAAACAACAAATATAAAAAATAAATGAAAATCATATTCATGTCGAATTCAACTCGAATTGAATCGGTATTGTACAACTGAACCGAACTATTCACCCCTAGAGTCCACTACAAAAGTATATGAAAATATATATACCTCCTTGGCATTGGAATCGTACGGAGCAGTGTAGCGGTTACCCTGACTGTTGATGGTCGGATTAGCGCTACCGCCAATGGCATACATCTCCCACGCCGTGAAATCGTTGTTAGCGACGTGGATGTAGCCATGCCTGCACCGTGGCATCCGCTGCACCAACGCCTCCCCGAAATGGTTGAACGCTATTGTCACCTGCATCCCCGAGTCCGGCAAGTACCTGTCACGAAATTATCGACCGAATTGGGTTAAATTGAAAAATTCAAAAGTTTATTGATTTTCATGTAAATATTATAATATTATGGGGGGTTTGGAAAATACAGGCTTTTGCTAGGTTTTACCTATCGTCGTGCCCCAAGAGCATGACCTTGTCGTGGTGAGAGAAGTAGCTGTTGGAGATTGTAATGGCGGTGGAACCGAGGATGGCGTCGATGAGACCGTCCGTACAGTAACCCAGAGAACAGTGGTCGACCCAGATGTGATCCGACGCCGAGATCGAGATGCCGTCTCCGTCGGAGTCTCCTCGGGGTCCCACGTGGGTCGGCGACGAAGCGATCAGCGCGTTGCCGGAGGGTTTGCAGTGGTGGACATGAACATTGTGGATGATCACGTGAGAGACTTGCTGGATCGTGATGCATCCATGGCCGGTGATGTGGATGTTGGCTCCGCGGCCATCGATGGTCTTGTAGCTGGAGACGATGAGCTCGTGCTTGAGCTTGATGAGCATGTCGCCGGCGAAGATGATCCAGAGTGGCTCGGATTGGATCACGGCGTGTCGGAGGGTTCCGGGGACTGGGTTGGCGGCGTCTCGGTCGGAGGAGTCGGTGACGACGTAGAACCGGCCGCCTTTGCCGCCGAGAGTGCCGCGGCCGAAGCCGATGGAGCAGTCGGCGAGTAGTTGGCGATTCTCTGCCCAGTTGGGGACGCATCGCCAGCAGTCGTCGATTGGGTTTCCGGTGAGGCATGAGGGATTTTCCGGCGGTGGAGATTGGCCGTATAGTGGGTCTGTGAGGAGGAGTCTTCTCGAGATCGACTCGTTGAGCTTTCTGCATGAAGAGAGAGAGAGAGAAAAATTATAGGTGGTGTTGTTTGGTTGCTGAGAAAATATGCTGAGAATGTCTGGGAAAAACAACAGAGAAGGGTATGCTCTGTTCTGTGAAACAGAGGAATCCTCAGAGGTTAAAATTCAAAACCCATCGATGATTTCTGCCCAAAACATTGAAAAATTTGTGACTTTGGGAGGCTGAAACTTGTAAAGTTCCAGTCTTTGTTAAATCTATGCTAGAATTCGGGAGAATGAGAAAGACCCAGATGATGGAACAGCGAAACGAGGCAAACCCATGTAGGGAGTCGGACAAGAACCAAGGAAAAACAGAGAATTTTGGAGGTAAATCTTTGTCTGATGAAGGAAGGAAACAGAGAATGAATGAGAGAAACTGTACCTTTGAACATCAAGAGCAACATCTCCTGGGAAAGGGTGCTGGTGAGGGAGGGATAGGTTGAATAAAGCCGGAGATGATGAAGAAGAAGAAGCTCTTGCATGGTGACAGAGGGTGTTCAAGAGGCAAACCCAGAGAATGGGCATCCAAGAACATATCCTTTTATGAACCTCCATTAACAATGCACCCCTCTGACAAATCTCTCTCTCTCTCTCTCTCTCTCTCTCTCTCTCTACCTGAGAAACGGACCACCAAAACAAAATAACTGACCTCCGCTTGAACTTTTATGGGGAATTGCGCACTTGGATTATGTTATAACACGAGTGATTTGTCAGAAAAAAAAGGTTATTTATCGATAACACAGTTCTTCAATTGTGTGTTATCCTCTCTCTCTCTCTCTAGGTTGTTTCAAGAAGAAGAAAGGAAGCCCAAGAGAGAGATATCCATTCTCTCTCTCTCTAAATCTATGTTCCTTTCCTCTGAGAGAGATTCTTACTTTTGCAGCGTGTCAGTAACTGGACATTCTTATCTTGCACTATTCCATCATTAAAAGATCCCTCCTTTTGATTAAATATCCCATAACCATGATATGGAATAAAAAAGACATTAGAATCTAGAAATGCCTTGAATTAGATAATAAACCACTCCCTTACCTCAGCAAATTTTGTTCTTCTTCTTGGATCCGAATCTTATTAACAAGATTGATATTCAAAGGCAAGGAGATGACCACAAAATCACTATATGGGTTTTCTCTTGGTATTTATATAATGGGTATGAAACTTTCCATAAGTATTCTCTTTACAAATTCAGAATCTGAACACAAGGACGTTATGGAATCTTAACATTCTCTGTTGTCTCTGATTTTGTTGTTTGTTCTTTTCATGGTTAATGGTTTTAATTTTACCTTCTTTTTTTTTGCTCTAAAGATTATTTTATTCTGCAGATTAAAATTCCTTGCCGGTGGGTTGAAAGAAAATTATGCAGATTATTGTACATATGTTTTTTCTTACATATTTCCGCTTTTTTTTTTTTACATATCAATGCAAGAAAAGCGGAAAACATCGAAGTTTACTTATATTATGGTTAAGAAGGGATATAGGACAAATTTAATGGGGAATAATTATTTATTCTAAAAATAGAAAGTAGACAATAGTTATATAATTAATTTGGTACTTTCAGATATAAAGGTTTTCTTGTGTATAGAATAAATAACATCGCATAAACATTAAATTTGGAATTGTTTTGCAATTTTTTTATGGAACGTTATAAAATATATAAAAAAATATAGAGGACCATGCGTATATATATATGCTATAAGTTCTGTGGTTGACACGTGTAAAAATCTCATTTGTCTGTGACCTTGCACAAGGACAGCCTGTTATTTAGATTTTAAATGGGTTTTATGTAATTTTTAATCATTTTCCCTCTTCGATTCAAAATCCCGACCCAGAGAGAGTGAACCACAGAGGACTTAGGGTTTCTGGTTCTCAATCTCATCAATGGTGGAACTGATGGTTCTCGACGCTGATAATCCTGTTGTCGAAGGTGCGAACTTCATCTTTTCTCCCTATTTCTTGCTCCGCATTCGATTTCTGCTCGTAATTTTCGGTTAATTGAAGACGATAGCTAGTAGTGTCGCCGTTTATCTTTCCGGTTTTAGTGCATTATTTGTTCCATTTTTCAGCATTATCATGGACGATTGCGTTCATATGTCTATCCGGTTGTTGTTTCTTGTCATCTTTTCCTCTTCTGTCTCGCGTTCGAGGTTTCATTTCACTTGTTGGAAGTTGTGATCGCCGCAATGTTCTAAATCTTTACTGTTCTTGTTAAATTTTGGGGCTTGATTGGGTTTATGATGGATTGATAGCTATATATTCAGGGTTTCGTTATACTTGCTTCCTCATTCGATGAAATCTGTAGGGATTCCTAATAATAATGCAAAAGGAGAGAAAATGATTCTGCAGCCTTCCATAAGCAGTGCACAAAGGAGGAAACTCGCGGATATTAGTAATTTTCAGGATCAGGCAGCAAAGCAGCAGCAAAAAAATGTAGTTCTCTCATCCAAGGAGTACACCCAAAGACTTCAAAAGGCACTCGCTTTCACTTAATTTTATTGACTTACTCAGTAGCAGTATTCTTGGCATGTGAGAAGATGTTTCACGCTTTGTTGATTAACTGATTTGTGTTATTTATTTCTCAGGAAAACATGACACTGATGAAAGTCCTCACAGAGAGAAAGTATGTGGTCCTGTTTGTACATGTATGTCTCTGATGAGAGTCTTGTTTATGTCATTCGTTTGCTTATATTTTTCTTATTGCCTGCAGTAAAATCATAGAGTTGAGTGGGATTGAGTTGCAGAAACTCAGAATCAACTTACAGAAGATGCAGGAACAAAATGTTCAGCTTGCGCAGGCAAACAGTCAGATGTTGGCGGTACGTATACCATTATATGGCTATGGATGAGTTGATCATGTGAATGTTTGAATGCATATGGTTACAATATTCTATCAATGTCCCTTATTCTTCTTTTTCTTGGCAGGAGCTCAATACGAACAGAGATAGAGTATGTACTACTGGAACCCTAGTTGTTTGAGGCCTGGCTTTTACTTGATTGATTGCCTTTTGTAAGTTCCTCAGTAACATCTGTGTATATTTCAGCTGAAGGCACTTCATCACGAGCTTGGTTGCAAGAATGGGATACTCAAAGCAAGAAAAATGCAGCCTGAGGTCTGTTATCTATTGATCTGTATGTTCTTCACTGTCCATAATTACCCGGTAGACTTGAGAATTCATTACCTTTTCTGTCCAGGGGCAAACAATTCCAACTACACATCAAGCATCCCAAAACAAGGTGCTTATTAGATTTGATCTTGTCGACCTCTAGAACAGGATTTTATAACTATTATTTTGCATTGTTTTCACATTATTTTCTTTTGTTCTCCTAAAGGTTGGAGCAAATATTCTTGGTGGAGCTTGTGAATCCTTTCAGGCAGATGACTTAGATCACAAGAATACCAAGAGAAAGCGACAATCGAAGATTAAATGTAACCTGTTCTGCTTAGGTTCTGTGGATCCTTGCTATTGGTTCACTTGCTAATCATCTATCAATTGCACTTTCAGCTTCAGGAAGCTCTGTCGTCAAGTCAGTGCACGCGAATGAGAAAGCTAGCAATAAAAGGTCCAGTGATCTTCTTGTTAGATCTGCCTTTTTTTTTGTTTCTTTTAGTCTTAGGGAAAAATTGTACAATTAAGTAATCCTCGGATATGATTCTTTCTCTCTAGGAGAGTTTCTGGAAGAAAAAACGTGACAAATGCTGGAGTAATAGATAATACTGGCAACTCTGAAGACAGCATCAATAACAAGGAGCTTGTCCTTGATGAGGCAAACCCAGTTAAGGAAAATGTCCATGACAAAAGGTTCCAGTAATCAGTGCAATCGGATGGCTTATTTCTGATTTTTGTTTTTGAAGTTAGTCATCCGAACTCTAGAGAAACAATAACTTATCTGTGCTTTTATCTTCATTTTGGGTTTATTTTGGTGTAGGCATTGTGTGCGGAGGCAGTCTGCTCGCTTTGTTTGCCATGAAGCTGAACAAGCTGAAAACTTGCATGTCATGGGCGATGCTAAAGTGATGGAGGACGATACAAGGTTTGTCAACCATTTCAGATGAGAGATCTGGACGATGAATGGTGGAAAAGAAACTTACACTTACACATGTACTGTTTCAAAACAGGTCCTCGTTGAGAAGACAATCGGCTGGGTTAAAATCCCAACAACCTGAATTATCTGAAAACTTGCATCAGACACATGAATTCAAAGAGAGAACCAAAACCAGGAGGTCTGTTCGAGCATGTTTTTGTTCCGTTTACCAGTACCTCTGTATAGAGATCATAAAGTTAACTGTAAATTGAACAGGGCCTCTGTTAGAAGGCAGTCCATGAGGATAAATTTCCAAGAACCTGAACCGAACGGTGAAGTGAACGATGGAACTGATGCTGAAGAGTCAACAGGCGATGCAGGGTTTGCTAAACCATATCTTTTTTATTTACCCTTTTTCTTTCGACGCATAGCAGCAGTGAATCAATTTTGCAATCTAACTGTCGAAACTACTGCCTTTTTTTTTACATCTTTGCAGATGTTCTGCAAGAAGAGAAGATGTTGTGTCTAAATCTGAAGCAGTGCAACCATCTGAAAACTTGAATGAAAAACGTGACACGAAGGAGACAACAAGGAAACACAGGTTTCTTCTTTAGTGCTTGCGAATTTCCCCGCCTTTTCCGCTGGTGACTTAACATTATCAATTTGTGGTGGTTTGCCTCGCAGGACCTCCACAAGAAGTAGACTGTCTAATCCTCAAGTAGCTGAAGCAGCCGATGGGATCATATCTAAAGACCCTTACTTAAGTCGTGAAAAAGACGTGAAGGAGCCTAATCCACCGCAGTCATCGTATTCTGGAAAGGCGGGCAATGATGATAAAGAACCAAAGAACGTGCCTGGAGATGATGAAACCGAGGGGACGAGAAGAATATCAGTCGGGAGACCCTCGAGACTAGCGTCTGCTAAAATCCAATCGTACAAAGAAGTGTCGCTTAAAGTGAAGATGCGACGGCCCGGGTAAGCAAATGAATGTCTTCTGCGTCGGTTTTTGATATGTAGAAGCAGTAGGAGAAGTGCAGAGGCAGAAGCTAGTCATTAGAGGAATGATTCTCTCTCTGTTTCTTCTTCTGCAATTTCATTTGTCTTTAGCATTGCTAAATCACAATGTATTTTGGCTGTGATGTTTATGTCTGAGTTTGTAGTGACCGTACAAGTGAATGTGCCCTTTGGTCTCTTTGTTTTGTACTTGTATCTACAGTTTGGCTTTAATGCATGTTCCGTTCATTCTTATACATATATGTATATATATATATGAATGAATATTATTTTGAAGTAATATTTGACAATGAAAAAACAAACCGTGGATCGTTTACAAGCTTGGGTTGGGATGACATTACACTGGTTCTCTAAACGTCTTTGGCCTTTCCTGAATTTAAAATATATTCGCATTTATTTGTACGTGTTTACTTTTTTTTTTTATAAACTAAAACAAAATCCCATATAAATATAAAAAAGTTTCTTATCCATTTTGATTTTACAAAAATTCTACTAAAATTACATTGATGCTATATTTTATGTTCGACATGTAATTTTTAGTAATCCATGTAAAATTCTGTATAGTCTTTTATAAGTTTTTTGAAATCCTTAATTTCTATTAGGAATCAAATAGTGTTTCCCCCCCCCCCCCAGGATGATACTGTTTTCTATTCTCAGCAGTTGACGGCTCTCGTTAATTTTGGCAAAACTGTTAGATTAGTTCTTAAATCAAGAAACTAAATAAAGGAAACGCTAGAAGATTCATAACGCACAATCTGCTAAAACATATATACATATACATATATATACATACAATCACGCGCCTATATATCCCTATATAAACACCCCTCAACCCTCCATCTCTCTAGGGCGAAGTTTGCAAACCGAGAATGGGAGGAATGGCTTTCAGATGGATGATTCTGGTAATAGTTGCTGCCTCTGTCATTGAGCTGAACGATGCGAAAGAAGTTCCGTTTTCGACAGAAAACACGGTGGTGGTCAAGAACCTGCTGAGTATCAACAAGAACCTCAAAGTCCACTGCAGGTCCAAGGACAACGACTTGGGCGTCCGTATACTGACGAGCCTTCACAACTCTTACGAGTTCCATTTCGCCGACAACATTATCGGGACGACCTTGTTCTGGTGCAACGTGTGGCAGGGTCGTAATTACGAGCACCACCAGGTGTTCGAAGCGTATAAAGCCAAGTGGTATAACAGATACAATCAATTGTACAAGTGGGAGGCGAGAGACGACGGTGTTTACTTTGGTCATAATGAGCAAGTTCCTGTTTTCAAGTACGCTTGGGATGTTCCACACAAGTGATTTGGAGAGAAAATCTCTCTCTCCCTCTCTCTCTCTCTCTCTAGATCTCTCTCTCTCTAGATCTCTCTCTCGTTTGGGTATGAGTTGTTTTGGTTGGTGATGGAATTACCATGCGATGTATGCTCGAGAAGAATCATTATCATGTATTCGAATGCTTTATATATGGATTAATGTGAGCCTAATTATCTTCATATGCCTTGTATATATTTTTTCTTTTCTTTTTATGAAATTCTTGAATATGATCGTATAGAAGATCATAAAAAAAAAAAAGAATATGTCATATATTGCAATTAGATTCACACACAACAAAGATTTGGGGGCTTTTTATTAAAAATCTTTCTGTCACTTGCTATTGGAGTTCCTTTTTTTTTAATAAAAAAAAAACAAATTAATTTTTGTTCCGGTTTTTTGTCCTTTACAATATTTTTTTTCTTGAATCTCCTCAATATTATCAGTTTACGACGAGTTTACATGTTTTTACAATGCTCGGAAATTAAACAATACAATATTTTTTGTATGAATGAATTTAGGTTCTTCATGCTTATATCTATAATTGAATAATATTTAAGCTAATATTGACAAGGAAAACCTACACTAAAAAGCAAACTTTGGATTCTTTGCACGATTTGGATGGCATTAGTCCTTACAATGTCTTTGGTGGAATTCACTTAATTTTTATTTGTTTTTGTTTCCATTTTATAATTTCCTTCTATTTAGAAAGAGCCAACGGAAGGACAATTAGGGCTAATTAAACCATATTCTGTTTTAATCAAACGTTTTCATCCCTAGAGAAAAGCCATTACAATGGGAAACCGAAGGTCTAAAACTTTAAAAATTTATGGCCGATTTTTTTTGTTTTTAATAAAGAGGAAAACGTACACTATCTCATTAATAATTTGAAAAAGTTAAAACATTGCAGCATTTATTTATAACAAAAAAAATCTAAATATTTTCTTTTTTGAATATGAAAACCTCTTTGAAATGTTTCCATACGAATTTGGAAAGATTTGCAACATCTTAGTTGAAGAAGACATATAATAATAACCTTAAGGTCATATATATATATATATATATATATATATTATTGGACATGTTTAGAGAATTGAGTTGATTTTTTCAGCAAATTTTTGGCCAAATAATTGGACTATAAACGGACATTATATAACAATGAAATTAAACCCAAACCGAGTATAAAAGTAAGCGTTTTGAGTTTCAGTTCGGTATTTATCAAGTTTGGTTTGGGAACGATTTAATTGGTTCTATACAAAATTATACCAAACTATAGAACCAAATATTGTTAATCAGTTCGGTTTTAGTGTCGGTCCGGTTCGGTATTGTCATACATATATCAAATAAGAACCAAAAAGTGATGTTGAAATATACATGCATACATAAGTAGATAATTCGGATTTTGATTCAGAATTTATCATGTTCTGGTCAATATTATAGGGTTATATGTGCTAAGTAACGGTTTATTCGGTTCTACAAAAATTGTACCAAAATAGAAATGAGTATAATTCGGTTGGGTTTCGATTCGAAACTATATTCACGAATAAAAAAGATCACCCCTAGAGAGAAAAAAACTCGAAAAAACTATAGAGAACGAACATTCTTACGCATAAAAAAATGAATTTGAATCGAAACTAATATAAAAAAACAAACCGAATATATTTTTTCGACAACCTGAAAACGAATATAACGTAATCTTTACAGAGAGCTGGTGAGTGGAAACGTAACGGATGCGGGGAAGTTGAAAGTGATGGAGGACACGGTCGTGGATGTGACGATGTCGGTTCCGTACAAGGCGTTGATCAGTCTGGTTCGAGATATTTTCAAGGACCGGGACATTGACTACGAACTTAAGATCAGCCTCATCGTTCGGGTTCCTGTCTTGGGCAAGTTTACCATTCCCTTGTCTAAGAAGGCCGAGATCAAGCTCTCTCATCTTATTTAATTTGATTAAGCAAAATAAAAAACTTTTATCAATATTCCCTCCGTTTAATTTTATATGTCGTTTAGAATATTTTTTTTTGAATATAAATGAAGTTATGAGATTTCCCATACAATTTTTATTTTGAATTGTTGATAGTAAGATGTGATTTGAAATTTCTACAAGACGTTTACATGGATTTCATTGATTTTTAGAGAGATTTAGTTGGGTCGAAGATACGTTGAACTACCAATTATTAAAAAAAAATGTGATTTGAAATTTCCACAAGACATTCACATGGTTTGTTCGATCTCATGAGAGATGTAGTTGGGTCGAAGGTTCGATGAATTCCAGATTATAAAAAAATAATTGTGATTTGAAATTTCGACAAGGCCATAGAGAGGATGATACAGTTTTCTATTTTCAGCATTATCTTCAGGAGGACTCTTGTTTTAGCAAAAACTGTTGGGTTTAGGGCTGAATTAAACCAATAAACTAAATAAAGTAAACGTTAAAATATTTTTATTTAATGCAAAATCTCTCTGTCGCTATATATTTATACACACCCCAGTAGGCTTCAGGAGAAGGGAGAGAAAAAACAACAAAAACATGTTTCAAAGACTGAGTTTCAAATGTATGTTCGTGATCGTGCTTGCCTCGTGTATCGCGGCGAGAGACGGCGTGGAAGCCAACGACATAGTCATCAGGAACAGCCTGAAGAGCAACAAGAACCTCAGGGTCCATTGCAAGTCCAAAAAAAAGAGGTTCTCTCTCTCTCTCTCTCTCTCTCTCTCTCTCTCTCTCTCTCTCTCTCTCTCTCTCTCTTATGTTATTCTTATTCTTTCGTTTGGATTATCCGTTTGCACCTATTATTCCTTGGAAAGGGTTTTACCATTAATTAATTACATATCACAAATAATAACGAATTTGATAATTTTTTTAATGATTCATGCGAGTACGAAATATATAAACACATATATGTTTGAGTATATCAGTATTCAATTTGCTAAGTCTTTATAAGAGCCTCTTTCAAATTAAAAAAAAAACAAATCCGAAGTTGTTTGGTGATGCATCACATAGTTCTTTAACTAGTTGTGATATTAGGATAGGAGATCGAATGTATTTTTAAAATATTTAATGTATAATGAATCGTGTTAAAATGAATATATATATATATATATAATACACGCGGGCTGGAGGGAATCAAAGAATCTATCTAATTCCCTCAATGTCTAATTGTCTATCTTCTTTGCAGATTCATGGTGATGGACGGTTTGACGGTCTTGGAATCCTCTTCTATTCAAAACCTCATCCGATAGAAAAGCTACTACATATACATGCAAGTTTGTCTCTTTGCGTGTGTATATATATGTACTCACATGCATATATGTATGTATATGTATATATGTGTGTGTATGTGTAGAAAATCAATGACATACCCATAAATATGCTAAACGATGGTTTGAACTCATTGTAAAATCAATGACACAACTGCTACCTCATTGTTCGACTTATTACCCAGGTACTTGTGTATCAAATCTGGCGAGAACGCAATGATCACAGAATCTTTGCAGGAAAGAGGAGAACGACTCACACGATGTGCATTCAGATCGGTAACTTGATTCGAGATAACTTTCTCTCCACTCAAAAGGGGAGATACGATACTAGTAACATTATGTTGCGGGACTGGTACTTCCTATGTGGATCATGAGTGTTATGGTTTGTATTTTTGAATTGTTGAAAATGTGCTCCAGTAATTAGTTGTTGTTGCCTGTTTTTAGATAGGACTCTACAGTCACGAACTATTGTTTGGGTTGCAGCCAGAGACTGATTTGTAAACACCATTTTTGGTAAATATTATAATCACATTCGTACAAAAAAAAACTCATTGTAAAATCCGAAAAATTGAGCTCACGGTCTATAATAATAATAATAATAATAATAACAATAATAACAATAATAATAATAATAATAATAATAATAATATAATGCATCGTTTTTAGTTTTATTTATCAGTCTTTTTATATGGGATATAAATTATTTCCTTCTCTTTGTGAAGAATCATAAATTAATTTATTATTATTTATATAAAGAGTTTCTTTTGTGCTTTTGGAAATTATTGAATCGCCTTTTCCTATAAATATCTTGAGTTAATTTTATTTTTTTTAAGAAAAAGGGAACATTTGTTCACATATCGTTTTTGAAGTAGGAATAATGGAAGATATGATCTTATTTCATTTTTAAATTTGAATCTTCCACTTTTTTTTTTATGTTACATGATTCTAATAATTCCAATCGTAATTAAGTATTAAAAGGATATCTGGATTGGACATGAAGATTGAGAACCGGTCCTAAATTTTATTCTTCTTCCATATCTATGCATACTTTTTCTTTTACAGAACTTATTAATATTTAATATAAGAAAGTTGGAATGGCTACAACGCGATCCAAATTCGGACAATATATTCTACCAAGAGATTCATAACCTTATTCTTCTGTCCAAAATACGAAAAATATTTGTAACATTTCAAAACGAACTATACCATATCAATATATTGGAAAATAGGAAGAGTTTGAGTTCATATAAAATTTAAATATTAATGTGTTTCCTAGTTGATTTAGATTTATATGTACTTCTATCATATTGTGATGAGAATTAGGAATCTAGTGATAGGTAATAATTAACATTGTATATTTAAACTCATTTGATTATCTATAATAAGAATGCATTAATTCGTAACATGGTATCAAAATGTGATTATGTTATATGGATCCGAGGTTTTATTAGTTTTTGCAAAAGATGCCCGTGGATTATATAAATCTAGACCAAATAGAAAACATTGTGGTATATAAATTTCATTGAAACTAAACTCGTCATATTTCCGATAAGATATGGTTTTGTTTTTAAAATCTTGCACAATAAATGCATGTATGTGTATGTATCTCCATGCGCTCGAAATATACAAATAAATGATTATGCGTAGACATGCATGCATGGATACGTAAAATACACATATATACATATATACACATACATACGATGCATACAGATAAATGATCGATGTGGCAGGCAATGGATATAGAGGAATCCAAATAATTGAGAACCCTAAGATATGCTTTTGTTCGGTTGGACATTGCTTTTAACCTATGAAGGGGATTCTCGCTCCCTTCTTGCCCAAGCAATTGGGGAGATTCTTTTTCCACAAAAAAAAAAAAAACCGGAGACACGCATCCAGCATTAAAAATTATGTTTTAGATAGATAAACCCCATGGATATATATATATATGAAAAGACTAGTATATCATCAGTAAAGCAAAGGTGAGAGACTAGTGGAGTACGACATCTTGGGGGGAGAGACAAGCGACCATCAATAGCATCAGAAATTAGCATGGAGGAAAGGACATTCATCGTCAAGACAAAGAGATAAGGCGACAGAGGGTCACCTTGCCGTAAGCCTCTCTCTCCTTTGGAGAATGATGCTGATGTGATGCATTCCATAACCCAGGAGGTGAATCTCGGGGGAATGTCCATCGCCAAGAATATAATGCGGATGATCTGCCAATCCAGTGTATCAAAGGTACCTTACTCAAGTCAACTTTGATCAGGCCCTTTGAGGGGAGTCTCTCCTGCAAAAAATCTGCAATGAGTTCTGTAGCTAAGAGGATATTCTCGGAGATGGAGCGCCCTGGCACAAACGCCGTCTGGTTCAATAGGATTGCTTGATCAAGGATAGTGTGCAACTTCTTGGCCAGGATCCGGGAGATGACCTTGTAGGTGGTATTGCAACAAGAGATTGGTTTGAAGTATTTTAGGTGCTCAGCTTGCCGATGCTTGGGAATGAGCGCGATCAGAGTCGAATTCCATTGACGTAACATTCTGCCTGTTCGGAAGAATTTAGTAACCGCTTGTGAAAAGTCCAATCCAACAATTTCCCAACAAGAGGTGAGAAATTCCGCTGTGAAGCCATCAGGACCCGGGGCTTTGTTCCACGGAAGGCTAAACTCCTCCGATTTAATCTCCTCCATATAGTAGAGAGAGTGATTAGGAAGTCAGCCAGTGAGGGGTGACAGCGGAAAGGGAGGATCTCTCGAGCTGATTCAAGGGGCCACTGCACCAGGGAGGAGTCGTGGCTGCCCTGGAGAGAGGAGAACTACTCGACCGCCATAACTTTCATTGTCCCAGGGTCATAGATTTTTGTCCCCTGCATCATTAACAAGAAAGCGTATATGATTGAATATTTTTTAAGGTAATATTTGACAAAGAAAACATCAATGAAAAAACAATCCTGAATTTAAAATATATTCGCATTTACTTGTACGTGTTTGCTTTTTTTTTTTATATAAACTAAAACAAAATCCCATATAATATAAAAAAAAGTTTCTTATCCATTTTAATTTTACAAAAATTCTATTAAAATTACATGATATTTGATGCTATATTTTTTGTTCGACGTGTAATTTTCAGTAATCCATGTAAAATTTTGTATTTTTAAGTTTTTTGAAATCCATAATTAGGAGTCAAATAGTGTGCTTTTTTCCCCCAAAGTTGTTATTGGAAAGATGACGTCGCAGCTAAAGAAGATCGGAAATGGTTGGTTTTGTTAATAGCAAGATAATATTTAGAGTTATATATATATATAACCATAAGGCAACATCTTCTTCCACAGGATGATACTGTTTTCTATTCTCAGCAGTTGACGGCTCTCGTTAATTTTGGCAAAACTGTTAGATTAGTTCTTAAATCAAGAAACTAAATAAAGGAAACGCTAGAAGATTCATAACGCACAATCTGCTAAAACATATATACATATACATATATATACATACAATCACGCACCTATATATCCCTATATAAACACCCCTCAACCCTCCATCTCTCTAGGGCGAAGTTTGCAAATCGAGAATGGGAGGAATGGCTTTCAGATGGATGATTCTGGTAATAGTTGCTGCCTCTGTCATTGAGCTGAACGATGCGACCGAAGATCCGTTTTCGACTCAAAACACGGTGGTGGTCAAGAACCTGCTGAGTATCAACAAGAACCTCAAAGTCCACTGCAGGTCCAAGGACAACGACTTGGGCGTCCGTATACTGACGAGCCTTCACAACGCTTACGTGTTCCATTTCGACGACAACATGTTCGGGACGACCTTGTTCTGGTGCAACGTGTGGCATGGCCGTAATTTCGAGCACCACCAGGTGTTCGAAGCTTATAAAGCCAAGTGGTATACCAGATTCAGTCAATTGTACGCGTGGGAGGCGAGAGACAACGGTATCTACTTTGGTCATAATGAGCAAGTTCCTGTTTTCAAGTACGCTTGGGATGTTCCACACAAGTGATTTGGAGAGAAAATCTCTCTCTCTCTCTCTCTCTCTCTCTCTCTCTCTCTCTAGATCTCTCTCTCTAGATCTCTCTCTCGTTTGGGTATGAGTTGTTTTGGTTGGTGATGAAATTACCATGCGATGTATGCTCGAGAAGAATCATTATCATGTATTCGAATGCTTTATATATGGATTAATGTGAGCCTAATTATCTTCATATGCCTTGTATATATTGTTTATTTTCTTTTTATGAATTCTTGAATATGATCGTGTAGATAGACGATGACCAAAAAAAAAAAGAATATGTCGTATATTGCAATTAGATTCACAAGAGTACACAACAAATTAATTTTTGTTTCGGTTTTTTGTCCTTTACAATATTTTTTTTTCTTGAATCTCCTCAATGATATCAGTTTACCACGAGTTTACATGTTTTTACTATGTTCGGAAATTAAACAATACAATATTTTTGTATTAATTAATTTAGATTCTTCATGCTTATATCTATAATATTGAATCATATTTAAGGTAATATTGACAAGGAAAACCTACACTAAAAAGCAAACTTTGGATTCTTTGCACGATTTGGATGGCATTAGTCCTTAAAATGTCTTTGGTGGAATTTACTTAATTTGTTTTTGTTTTTGTTTCCATTTTATAATTTCCTTCTATTTAGAAAGAGCCAACGAAAGGACAATTAGGGCTAATTAAACCATATTCTGTTTTTAATAAAGAGGAAAACGTACGCTATCTCATTAATAATTTGAAAAAGTTAAAACATTGCAGCATTTATTTATAAGAAAAAAAAATCTAAATATTTTCTTTTGTGAATATGAAAACCTCTTTGAAAGGTTTCCATACGAATTTGGAAAGATTTGCAACATCTTAGTTGAAGAAGATATATAATAACCTCAAGGTCATATATATATATATGATTGGACATGTTTAGAGAATTGAGTTGATTTTTTCAGCAAATTTTTGGCCAAATAATTGGACTATATATAAACGGACATTATATAACAATGAAATTGAAAGAACACTAAGAGGAGGAATATTTGTGTTTATATAAATAGTTATTTGATGTTATAACAACTATTTATATAAATCTTTTATAGCAAGATAAATCTAATATCTAGATTTTTCTAACACAGTCTTACTTTTTTCTAACCATAATTGTTTAGATTTTTTTCACAAATATAGAGATATATTTAAATAAATTTCCAACAATGTGGGATAATGAATTAGGAATGTATTTGTTCAAACTTCTATTTTATTGGATTGTGCTTATCTAAAATTAAAATCTAATTGCAATGTCAAGTACGCTTTATGTCTTTAAGTACCTGAACTCTTTAAAAAAAATATACAAATAATACTCAAACCAAAAAAGAAAAAGAAAAAAACATGATCAGTTTCAAATGTATTTGTCTGGTTGTTCTTGCATCATGTATGGCGGCGGTGAACGGCGTCGAACCCAACGCTACGGAGATTAGAAACAACACGAGGAGCAGCGACAATAACCTCGAGGTTCCATTATTTAATTTAATTTAATTTAATTAATTAGCCGTTCGTTTACCCAACCTAGGTAGATTAACCGATGAAACGAGGATGTATAAAACGTATTTTCCACCACGAGTTCGAAATTCAAGTTGAGGAGAAAAGTGTAATTTAAATCACATTGTTTGCTTCCGGCTCCGCAATTAGACTGTAACTCGACCCACGATACCCGATTACCAAAAAAAAAATTATCCCTTCATTTTTTTACATATGACATTTTAATTGTTCCATGTACGTATGGATTTCTTTTTTTTGGTATGAACATATGGATTTCTTATATATGAAAATTATTAAAAGCCATAATAACAAACACATCCATTCAATTCAATCATCAGCGTTCCAACTTCCAACCCATATACACACGCATTATAATGTCATATGAATTTGAAGAACAATATATAAAATAATTTATACATCATAATATATGACGTACATGTATAATAATAATTTTTTTAAAAATGAAACGGAGCAGGTGACGGCGTTATCTCTGTTACCAACGGCAGAGGTTGTAGGCTTGGAGGTGAAGAAGGTGACTCTCCACTCGGTCGAGTTCCTGGCCAAAGTCTCCGTCCATAACCCTTTGCTCTTCCCCATTCCCCTCACCGACATCGTTTTCAACCTCACCTCCGCCGACAGGTAATTAAAAACGTTATATTATACATTCTCCATATATTTATATTTTATTAGTTTCAAATATATATATGTTATATATGATCTTATATATATAATCCATCGCAAGCTAGAGTTAGGTGTGTTACAAAAGGTTGTATGACCGTATCTAATCCGAATTTGATATAGAAATCGCATGTGTATGATTCTTTTCTTCTTCAAAAATTGAACCCAAACCGAGTATAAAAGTAAGCGTTTTGAGTTTCGGTTCGGTGTTTATCAAGTTTGGTTTGGGAACGATTTGATTAGTTCTATACAAAATTATACCAAACTATAGAACCGAATATTGTTAATCAGCTCGGTTTTAGTATCGGTTCGGTTCGGTATTGTCATACATGTATCAAATAAGAACCAAAAAGTGATGTTGAAATATACATGCATACATAAGACTAGATAATTCGGATTTTGATTCAGAATTTATCATGTTCTGGTCAATATTTATAGGGTTATATGTGCTAAGTAACGGTTTATTCGGTTCTACAAAAATTGTACCAAAATAGAAATGAGTATCATTCGGTTGGATTTCGATTCGAAACTATATTTATGAATAAAAAAAGATCACCCCTAGAGAAAATAAAACTCGAAAAAACTATAGAAAACGAACATTCTTAGACATAAAAAAATGAATCTGAATCGAAACTAGTATAAAAAAAAAACAAACCGAATATAATTTTTCGATAACCTGATAACGAATATAACGGAATCTGTACAGAGAACTGGTGAGTGGAAACGTAACGGATGCAGGGAAGTTGAAAGCGATGGGGGACACGGTCGTGGACGTGACGATGTCGGTTCCGTACAAGGCGTTGATCAGTCTGGTTCGAGATATTTTCAAGGACTGGGACATTGACTACGAACTCAAGATCGGCCTCATCATTCGGGTTCCTGTCTTGGGCAAGTTTACCATTCCCTTGTCTAAGAAGGGCGAGATCAAGCTCCCTCATTTTATTTAATTTGGTTAAGCAAAATAAAAAACTTTTATCAATATTCCCTCCGTTTAATTTTATGTCGTTTAGAATAATTTTTTTTTATTAAATAAATGAGGTTATCAGATTTTCCATATAATTTTTATTTTGAATTGTTGATAGTAAATGTGATTTGGAATTTCCACAAGGCCGTAGAGAGGATGATACAGTTTTCTATTTTCAACATTATCTTCAGGAGGACTCTTGTTTTAGGAAAAGCTGTTGGGTTTAGGGCTCAATTAAACCAATAAACTAAATAAAGTAAACGTTAAAATATTTTTATTTAATGCAAAATCTCTCTGTCGCTATATATATATACACACCCCAGTAGGCTTTAGGAGAAGGGAGAGAAAAAAACAACAAAAACATGTTCCAAAGACTGAGTTTCAAATGTATGTTCGTGATCGTGCTTGCTTCGTGTATCGCGGCGAGAGGCGGCGTGGAAGCCAATGACATAGTCATCAGGAACAGCCTGAAGAGCAACAAGAACCTCAGGGTCCATTGCAAGTCCAAGGACAACGATATAGGTTCTCGTGTTGTGGGTCCTTTCCGAAGCTACGAATTCAGTTTCAATGATAACATATTCGGGACGACGCTCTTCTGGGGGGGAATGTCCATCGCCAAGAATATAATGCGGATGATCTGCCAATCCAGTGTATCAAAGGTACCTTACTCAAGTCAACTTTGATCAGGCCCTTTGAGGGGAGTCTCTCCTGCAAAAAATCTGCAATGAGTTCTGTAGCTAAGAGGATATTCTCGGAGATGGAGCGCCCTGGCACAAACGCCGTCTGGTTCAATAGGATTGCTTGATCAAGGATAGTGTGCAACTTCTTGGCCAGGATCCGGGAGATGACCTTGTAGGTGGTATTGCAACAAGACAATAAATGTTTCTGGAAATTATTTCAGGAAATGGAAATGATTTAATTGAGAAACCCTTTTGAACAATCTCTCTCCCTCTCTCTCTCTCTATATATATATATATATGATAAAACGGGTGTCAATTTAGGATCAAGGTCTGAAGCCCAGCCCGACCCAACCTGAAAATTAGCGGATTTCAGGTCTAAGTTTTTCAGTCCGAAAAAAATTTGGCTTTCAGACCATGCTCAAATCAGGCTTCGAGCTTGATTCAGATCGGTCCAATCTACCAATATTTTAAAAAAAATAAAAAAATAAAAAATAACATTTATAAAGGAAATTATGCAGGCCAGGTCGGATTTAGTTGCATAGGCCCAATTGTTGAGATATGATCATATGAAATATATATGACAGAGAGAACTTCTCTTAATACAATTCAATTTGCAATTTTTTATTTATTTATTTTAAATTTGCTCTAATAATGTAAGGCTATATATATATAATCTTTTGGTTTTACCCAAAACAGACAAGAAAAAAGACATTATTTTTTGGGGACTTAAATTCCTTACAATTTTGAAAATGGTTCTAAAAGTTTTGTGTTGGCTCCAATATGCCACCTCATGGCCGATCGGATATTTCAGATTTCGCCCTTTTTTTTTCAACTCGGTTATTTTCGGATCCAGATTTTTTAGGGTTTAGGAAAAAAAATTATTTGTTTCGAATATAATCACTTTTTTTTGGTAATGCTAAAAATTCAGTCACGAAAGAACGTGATAAACCATCCGATTCCACGTAATAACCTACAAATGAGGAAGAGAAACAGATAGTCAAACAATGGAAATAGGATCACTACAATGGAAATGATTGAAAAAACAAACCATTTCTGTGGTCAAACAATCGAAAAAGGCAGCGCATGATTTCTAACCTTTTCGGACCGTCACTTTTGCATGCATGCACGCACCCAAATCAACTATATATAAACACTTGAATTCCGACCAGAGAGATGATACGTTTTCATTACAAAAACAAGAACATCGATCGATATATCAAAACAATGATCCGAGCATCGATCGTCGTGATCGTTCTCGGGCTATGCATCGTTCACAATGACGCGGGATTTCTCAATCCAAAGAAATGGGTCTACCTAGTAAACAATTTGGAGCACAACAAGAACCTAAAGGTTTAGACTTTATATATTTTGTTTTCCAGATATCGTACATAATCGTTTGTTTTGAATAACGAGAAATCCGGCGATTCTCTGTCACAGGTCCATTGCAAATCTAAGGACGACGATCTGGGCTACCCGATCGTGCCTCCTAAAGGATCGTTCAAATTCACGTTCAACAGCAGAGTGTTCGGGATTACGCTCTTCTGGTGCCACATGTGGCAAGGGCCGAACTTCAAACACCACCAAGTGTTCGAGGCGTACAATGGCAAGTACCATATGCATCATCAGATGATATGGGAAGCAAGAGAAGATGGGATCTATTACTCCGAGAACCGGAAAACTTATAAGCTCAAATATCTTTGGGATGCTCCCCACAAACTAAGTGAGCTTTCGTCCGACTGATCGATCGATCGATCGCTCCAATCCTTGAATCTATACGAGATATTATGGTGTGCAATTTGATTCGGTTTGCTATGAATCCGTTCATATTGTAACGTTTTATTCGGGTTAAATAAGTTTATAAGAGAACCCCTTTGTCATAAGCATTTAAAGTCTATATTCACGAAATATCAGTTACATAACATTGTTTTTTTCTGTCAACAAATAATGTTTTTAATATCAACTTACATATGCACATCCATGAAGGCATATATATGCACAAAACTTTGATAGATATTCGAAATAATATAAACATAAAATATTCGAATAGAGAATATCACCTTATCTAAAAATCTCAACTTAAACAGAAATACAGTCAAATATATATATACACAAATATATACGAAATAATAGAACGCATAACCAACAAGCCTAACCTTCTTTCACATACTTTGATATTCAATTTCTATATTTGGCCATCGACGGTCTCTTCAGTTTTCCCCCCTTTGTTTCGGACAACCCGTTGTATAGTTTTTTTTGTTAACGGTAAATCGTATAAATATAAATGTTTTACAAAGTTGTTAAGGGTAACCCGTTGTATAGTTGCGAATCAAGAAACTGAAAAAAGAGGAAAATTAGATAAATTAAGATGGTAACATAACAAATGGCACATTCATGTAAAATCATTACATAGAGATACATATCTATACACCTGTCTATATCTATAAATAGTTTCAAACTCTCTAGGATAAATACTACTAACAAATTAAGAGAAAACAATTCCATATCCATACAATGGACTCGAAGTGCATCGTCCTCGTGATCATTGATTGCCCTATGATACGTTTTCATTATACATAAACACCTAAACTCCGACTAGAGAGATAATAAGTTTTCATTACAAAAACAAGGACATTGATCGATATATCGAAACAATGATCCGAGCATTGATAGTCGTGATCATTCTCGGGCTATGCATCGTTCACAACGATGCGGGATTTCTCAATCCGAAAAAATGGGTCTACCTAGTAAATAATTTGGAGCATAACAAGAACCTAAAGGTTTATTAGATTTCATTTTATTTTCAGATATCGTAATCGTTTGTTTTGAATAACGAGAACTCCATCGATTCTCTATTACAGGTCCATTGCAAATCTAAGGACGACGATCTGGGCTACCCGATCGTGCCTCCTAAAGGATCGTTTAATTTCACGTTCAACAGCAGAGTGTTCGGGATTACACTCTTCTGGTGCCACATGTGGCAAGGGCCGAACTTCAAACACCACCAAGTGTTCGAGGGGTACAATGGCAAGTACCATATATATCATCAGATGATATGGGAAGCAAGAGAAGATGGGATCTATTACTCCGAGAACTGGAAAACTTATAAACTCAAATATCTTTGGGATGCTCCCCACAAGCTAAGTGAGCATTCCTCCGACTGACCGATCGATCACTCCAATCCTTGAATCTATATGAGATATTATATATTGTGTGTAATTTGATCATGTTTCTCTGATCTATATTATAGAAAACTTTAAATGAAAATCTGCATAATATTGAGTATTTATTAATAATTGATAAAAAAAAACCACGTCAAAATATCCAAAATACCCTTCTTTTGTTAAAACTACTTCTGTACATACCCTTCTCCAGATGTGACCATGTGACCAAACACACTGTATGTTCACATTGGTCACAACGTTAAATTTATGATAATTTCACCAAGTGATTAGTGTGATATGTAAGGTGTGACCATGGTGACTTGGTGTGATCATCATAAATTTAACGTTATGACCAATGTGACCACCGTGTGACCATATAGTTATTTTTATCACATGATCATATTTGGAGGAGGGTATATGCAAATAGTTTTAGCAAAATGAGGGTATTTTGGATAATGCCCCTATTAAAACAAAATTTAAATGTTATTGCTTTGGAATGATTTGTTTGATGTGTTTCCATTCATGTTTTCTTTTCCTCTATACCTTATATGTTAGAGTTTATCAATCTACTATTGAATTCGCTATAACAATCATAGTTATTATCTATAGATATAAAATTGAAAAAATATATATTTTATCGATAAAAATGGCCACGAACTGAACTGAACCAAATTGAATTCAATATAACAACCAGAAAATTATTATTGTTGTTCTAAAAATCAGATAATCATATTCCAATATAATCGAACCAAATTCGAATCGAAATCCAAAATGACCCCACTAATAACCACACTAAAATAATTATTTATGAGGTAGATAAATTATTTAGTTTATACTTTACAATGATGTGTACACACCAAAATAATCGAAATTTTATTCTCATTATTAATATCACTTTATTATACCTGATTAATTTTCTACATATTTTATTGAGGGCATTATAAAAAATATCTTTACTTTGTTATTTTTACTTACCCATGTGATCCGAAATATAGTGTGGTCACATATTGATCTCATTGCTCATAACGTTAAACTTATGACGTTTTAATCAAATGATTAGTAAGATATACGAGGTATGAACATAATGAATTAGTGTGATCATTATAAACTTAACGTTATAATCAATAAAATCAAAATATGACCCAAAATATATTTTGGATCCCATGTTGGAGGAGGATATGTATTGAAGGATATGTATTGAAGTAAAAATAACAAAGTAAACGTATTTTTGATATAATGTCGTTTTAATATCGAAATCGTATATATTTCGCATTCGAATATCCAAGCTTCGTAAAATGGATGAAATGTCGGTTTATTTGGTCAATTTTTTTTTTAACTTTGACCAAAATCATCTCATCTTTTATTTTTCCAAATTCAAGTATCAAAATATGAAATATAAAATTCAACCCAGAAATCATGGAACAAGTTTACACATCATCAACAAGAACCTAAAAGTCCATTGCAAGTCTGTGACACCCGCATCCCGCTTACGCTTGTGCCACGTAGATAAATAAAATCACGATTGAAAAATTTCGAAATGTAAAATCGCGGGAAGATTAAAACATTCATTTTAATTATAATACAGCGGAAGACATTATAAAATAAAGAAATACATTTGTACACGTACTTGAAGATACCAGTATATAGTACGAATGGTGAATTGTATAATACGAGAGTCTAAAGATCACCACTCTTTATTTTCAAAAATAAAGTATGACAAAATAATTATACATGATCTGGATAGTCCAATTGTCACTGGAACCCACGTCTGCCTCAGTCACTATTGTTGCTCACGACCTGAAACGTTGCGTAACAACGTCCTAAGCTATGTGCTTAGGGAGGAATTCGGGTGTAACCCGAGATTTCTATTTTTATTGAAAACGGCCAAGCAATATAGTCAATACTATAATATACAAGCGACGAGAAATATCAATCAAATCAATCATCGTTAAAATCAATCAGCAATCTCAAACAAATCCGTCAATCGTCTCTACGTGTATCTCACACGTAGGTAATTCAACAACTCATTCATGCCTGTGTCGAACACGAGGCGCAACAGTCCAAGCAAAATCGTTTGCGAGGACCTCAAGTGATCTTCATACTCCTCATCGGTCACCGATATCACGACTCTCGGTACCGGTCATCTCCATACTCACTCCAGACATCGATCCCCGATGCCGCCGACTGCCGGGCAAAGCAGCTCTATGCTAACTCCCCCTCGCCGACCATCCGCCTCGGAAAATACTC